ATATATATATATATATATATATATATCGCCTTGGTGTGTGTAGAGAGGGGGGGGTGCTGACACCATGAAGTGTCGCACCGGGTGACACCCGACCTAGCTACGCCACTGCGCTTTGGTGGTCAACCCTCCCACCACTCGCCCCCCATTCTTATATATATATATATATATATATATATATATATATATATATATATATATATATATATATATATATATATATATATATATATATATTTATTTATTTATTGATATGACTTCTTTCTGCTATAACAAGATCCTTGCTATGGTACTTGTTCGAGGGCTATTGGGCTCAAAAATACTCTTCCCAGTTTCAACACATTTTGAGACTTGCTATCTCTAGAAAGACTCACAGGTATCTCAAGATTATAATCTTTGACCAGAGAGTTGACCAAAACTGTTCCATAGTCAGCCTTCGTTACGACAGCTGGTTCCAACGATGTATTCTTCAAAGAGTTTCACGATGAATGCCAGGCTATTTTTAGCACAGCGTAGAATGGTTAAATAAATGATTTTTTTTGTTGAAATTTTACTCATTAGAATATTCTGCTCACATGCTTAATGGTATCTTATGAACAGGTAAGATACATAACTATAGTTTAAAACACATTATATCAGGATTCTATAGAACATAAGCCGAATAGGATTAAATATAGACTATTTTTTCCATTTATTGATTTGAATTGTGTTGACTGCATAATGCTATGTATTGTTCAGACTGGCAATAAACTGACGTGCATTAGTCTTATTGAAACAATTTAATTAATATATTTCCCCACAGCTACTGTAACATAAACAGGAAAACAAGCTACGCTTTACATTGGAATTCACCTGATCAGCCAACCCAGCCAACCACTTATTTTTGAGGCCATCCCACTGTGACAACCCTGTTATAATGTTGCTCCGAAAATTCCTTAGCATCTTCTTCACTTTTTTACACGGTAAGTGATATCTACTCACCAATTGATTAACTTTTTTACACGGTAAGTCCAATCTACTCACCAATTGATTAACTTTTTTTACACGGTAAGTGATATCTACTCACCAATTGATTAATTTTTTTACACGGTAAGTGATATCTACTCACCAATTGATTAACTTTTTTACACGGTAAGTGCTATCTACTCACCAATTGATTAACTTTTTTACACGGTAAGTGATATCTACTCACCAATTGATTAACTTTTTTACACGGTAAGTGCTATCTACTCACCAATTGATTAACTTTTTTACACGGTAAGTGATATCTACTCACCAATTGATTAACTTTTTTACACGGTAAGTGCTATCTACTCACCAATTGATTAACTTTTTTACACGGTAAGTGCTATCTACTCACCAATTGATTAACTTTTTTACACGGTAAGTGCTATCTACTCACCAATTGATTAACTTTTTTACACGGTAAGTCCAATCTACTCACCAATTGATTAACTTTTTTTACACGGTAAGTGCTATCTACTCACCAATTGATTAACTTTTTTACACGGTAAGTGATATCTACTCACCAATTGATTAACTTTTTTACACGGTAAGTGCTATCTACTCACCAATTGATTAACTTTTTTACACGGTAAGTGCTATCTACTCACCAATTGATTAACGCGTTTACAAAGTATCATCGAATAAAATCAGAATTTACTGCAGTAAATTGTACTATGTTTACTGGAGAAGGACTGTCTGTGCCCTAATTGGACCGGCAAGTTTTCTAAAAGCTTCCAACTATAGATTGAAATTTTCATTTAAAATTTTCCCCCATTAATTTGAATTTTACGCCTTGGTTTCCAGTAATGATATTTAAAATGGAGAAATACCGAAAATGCGTTTTAATAAAATCAAAACACTAATAGGAATATTACTACAGCACCGTTCGTGGGACCCACCGGGATTTTTTTCCTGCGTGCCAAATTTTTGCTGGGGGCCCATCGATATTTTTTTCCAGGGGGCCAACCGAGATTTTTTGCTAGGGGCCCACCGGGATGGTGTATGCACAATAGTTATCATAAATTAGGCCTACTCCCTTTATTAACCTATGATATTGGTAAATATTGTTATGTTCGGCGTGGTCGAGTCGGTAAATCTCATGGTTGCTAAACGTAAAAGTCTCGAGTTCGAACCCTCGGGCAGATGAGGCTAGTTAGCTGAGGACAGCCATTCTCTAGGACAATGGCTATGGTTTCAAATCCAAAAAGAAAAGCAGGCTGAAATCGGAATCGAAAAAGTCTCGAGTTCGAACTAAGGCTCGATCCCTTCCAACACTTAAAGTTAAGAACGAAGAAGAAGAAATTATATTAATGTTTTTCCCCTATATTAATTCGATCTCTAATTAAACTATTTTCACGCGTGAAACAAACATACCCAGATAGTTTTAAACTAGGTCGGTGTTTCGGCGCTGACGCACTGGGTAATTTCCCTTTGTGATCAAATTACTTTTTTTAATGACGGAAATATTTGCGTTGAAATAATCACCATTGTTATAGACAAATACGGATGAGAGATTGAGTTACATGTTCGTTGTTCACTACAGGTAGCTAGATAGCCTCATTTAAAATACTTTAGAATGTTCTCTTAAAAGCTTAATATTATTTCCCAAAGTCAGCATTTTTTTTTTTTAGATTTATTATTTCAAATTTTAAAAACTAAAATAAATAAACCGGTAGTGATCTCCCCTAAACTTTCTCGAATATTCTTATATAAAACAACAAGGGGATGGTAACTGGGGATATAGTTATGATTTTTAATCCATTTTAAATACTAAAACTTTTAAAAATAGAATAGAATCTCAGTAAAAAACAATTGCGCACCAAGCGAACGCCTAATAAAGGTGTGTATAATAGTTCGCAATATTATTAGTACTTTTAAAATTTACATTAGTTTTTTGAGAAATCGGAAGTAGCGTAAATTACTACTTCCTGTCAACGGAAATTACTCAAAATTTAACAGAAGGTAGAGAATTAGATCTTTTACTTACATGTGAAATTTCATTTATCTATCTGAAATAGTACTCAAGTTATAGGCTTTTAAAAAATTCAAAGTAGGAAAAGTACCACTTCCGGTTATCGGAAATCGCTCAAAAGTTGATACGGATCTACGATTTTGATAAAATACTTATATATGAAATTTCATCAACCTAGCTGTAACGGTACTCAAGTTATCGTGTTTACACACGGACAGACAGACAGACAGACACACACACACACAGACATACGGACAAGATTGCAAAATTATGTTTTTCCGTATCAGTGAGGTGTAAAACGTCGAGATTTGTAAAAATCTCGATTTTTTTTTTTTGCACGATTACAATACTTTCTCTATACTACGTATATACGAGAAAGTAAAAAACACAACCTATAACAATAAAGCTGATGAAACGTTTTTCTAAATGTTAACATCAGATGTAAATCATTTCAACGCTGGCCAAAGCCAAGCAGTTAAAATGTTGTGAGAGTGGTAATTATCTCATCACAAAAATAAAACGTTTATACTTACAAAGTTTCCAGTCATTAATATTTCATCAACAAGAAGTCTGATGATATCCTTTTTACCGTAGAGAAATAATCTTGAGTGTCAGATTACTCGTTGATGTGCTCACGTTGAAATTTGAATCAACATTCATAACTAGAATCGTATGCACATCACTATCACATCAATATCCCTATCATTATCCTAATCCTAATCTGTACCCTCACCCGCACCCGCACCTACACCTACACCTACACCTACACCCACACCCACACCCGCATCAGCACCCACGCCCGCACCCACACCCACACCCACACTCACACCCATACTCACACCCACACCCACACCCACACCCACACCCACACCTACACCTACACCCACACCCACACCTACACCCACACCCACACCCACACCCACACCCACACCCGCACCCACACCCACACCTACACCCACACCTACACCTACACCTACACCTACACCCACACCCACACCTACACCTACACCTACACCTACACCTACACCCACACCCACACCCGCACCCACCCCCGCACCCGCACCCACACCCACACCCACACCCACACCCACACCCACACCCACACCCACACCCACACCTACACCCACACCCACACCCACACCCACACCCACACCTACACCTACACCCACACCCACACCTACACCTACACCTACACCTACACCTACACCTACACCTACACCTACACCTACACCTACACCTACACCTACACCTACACCTACACCTACACCTACACCTACACCTACACCTACACCTACACCTACACCTACACTTACACCTACACCTACACCTACACCTACACCTACACCTACACCTACACCTACACCTACACCTACACCTACACCTACACCTACACCTACACCTACACCTACACCTACACCTACACCTACACCCACACCCACACCCACACCCACACCCACACCCACACCCACACCCACACCCACACCCACACCCACACCCACACCCACACCCACACCCACACCCACACCCACACCTACACCTACACCTACACCCACACCCACACCCACACCCACACCCACACCCACACCCACACCCACACCTACACCTACACCTACACCTACACCTACACCTACACCTACACCTACACCCGCTTGAAATTTCCCGGGGGGGGGGGCGGCGGACACTGGTAAAAGTATATATTTTCTATATACATTCTATTTCGTTCGGGGGGTAGGGGCGAAAGGGGGTTGGTGTAAACGTTCTCCGTGGGTGGGGGGTGGGGTGGGGGGCGGGTGGGCAGATCCCCTCTCCGAAGTAATGCCTGGAAGAAACTCTGTTTATTATTATTGTTTTCATGAAACACCTATCTATTTTAACATCATAATGGGTTTTCTTCCTACCTGTTCCAGGCCACCTACTACAAATGGTGCTTAGTTTGAACGCCACTGAAATCAACACCATCCTGTCCCTCCACAACCAGTACCGACGTAACATGACCACAAGAAACCCCAGATTCCATATCTCCAACATGCAGGAACTGGTAAGTTTTTAATGACCCACAGAACATATTGTGATGGTGTGTGAGTGTGTGTGCACGTATGTGTGTGTGTGTGTGCGTGTGCGTGTGTGTAGGTTTAACCTGACCCGCAGAACATATTGTAATGGTGTGTGAGTGTGTGTGCACGTGTGTGTGTTTGTGTGCGTGTGTGTAGGTTTATCATGACCCGCAGAACATATTGTGATGGTGTGTGAGTGTGTGTGCACGTGTGTGTGTTTGTGTGCGTGTGTGTAGGTTTAACCTGACCCGCAGAACATGTTGTGATGAGATCTTTTCTAAAATAAATCACCAACTCATGTGGGTAATTATACAGGACTATAGGAAATCTCCATAAACCACGTGTGCGATGGTGTGTGAGTGTGTGTGCACGTTTGTGTGTGAGTTATGTGTGAGTTGTATGTGTGGGTTGTGTGTGAGTTGTGTGAGCCCCATGTATCTTGGGCACGACCATGAAAAGATGGTGATGAATCGTTTAAAAAGACTATTGTACAAAGTTAAGAAAGTTGAACAATGAACCTAATTTTGACACATATCCGTTATAAATGTCAGTATCAAAGTACTGATTTCGAGGTTTTAGTCAAATTCGACCGGTTAATTTTAAAGATAATGTCAAATTCATTAGCCAATTCTCTTTGTTGTAGAAAACAAACGTAATTTATGTTGTAAAAAATAAATTGCTGCATATAAAATTAAAGCTAACGGTATTTTGTTCCGTGTAACGTAAGTAAATGAAGGGGGGGGGGGGAGGGCGACACTAAAGAATGCCATATTATGGGAAATTGCTATTTTATGACGTTGTTTGATTATGCGGGGATCAATAAGCGTTAAATAATTCGTAGACAACATAATAACACTTTTACGAAAGGTGGTAAAAAAAATAAAAATAAAAAAACCTTGTGTAGAAAGCTACATTCTGGCCACATGTACTTTTGTTAATCATAAACTTGTTATTTACCTCGCCTTATTGATTCCATCTCAAGCCTTCAGATGTACTGACTAAATTCTGTAGTTTATTATAGAACATGAAACCAATTAATTTTATGCATTCATTAACATGACTTCTCTTCTATTTTAGAATAATTAATGAAACTTGCTGATTAACACAATTTTAAACAAATTTTTATACTAATAGTGTTTCTACTGATAATCTTTTAGTCTTTACATTATTCAACGTTAATCCGATTACTTTCTCTATATTTAGAATGACACGATCATCATTTTTTCAAAAGCTGAATTTAAGGTGATAAAAACAACGATAGTCTTTATAGTCTTTAAAGAGTTCAGTACCTGTTAGCAAACCTCCCATAAAACAGCTTATACTAAAGTACATCCTAGTTTTACCAGTTGTTCGCCTACCTGAATGGCGAATGAGACTAAACGACACTAAAAAATACCGATAATCAGAGACACAGAGGCGTAGCGACACATTCCGGCGCCCTGGGCGAACTATACTTTTTACGCCCCCTAGTTACACCCACATATTTATTCGTTATGGAACGACGTGGCCTAAGTGGTAGAGCGCTAGGCTGCTAACCTGAAAGTCTAGAGTTCGAATTCCGGGTCCAAGTGAGTAGAATGTCCCTGTTAGGGAAAGTAAAAGTGTCTGGGCAAAGTGCTGACCACACATTCTCATCATATGACGAGATCAAGAAACATATACGTTCTACTTCATCTGCCCAATGGATCGCTAGTTCCAAAATGATTATTTAATTTTTTAATTTGTTTACTCAAGTTAGCCACCCCCCCCCCACACACACACCACGAACTTGAAAAGTTGTGGTGCTTTTATTTCAGTCACTCTCCCTTACACGTTTTTATTTTAGTATCACACACTTGATGTAGAAAACAGCCCATTAATCCAAGCTACAGTATATTTAACGAATAATGCAGCTCAAAATAAGCTTATATTTTATTGCATTGCCCCGTGTAGCGCCCCCTAAGGTCCCCGCCCGGGACCGACGCCCCACCTGCCCTCCCTAGCTACGCCTCTGCATAGACAATATAAAATGTAATGTAAAAGCCTATGAAGAGAATAAGATTTATTTACGTCATAGGATCATTTTTTTTAGTCAGAATAACTGTTGACGTCATTGAAATTAGGAGCAGATTTGTATACAAGAGCTGGTGTCGTTAATAACTAGAGGAGGTGTCGTGTATAGCTACAGAAGGTGTCATGTATAACTAGATGAGGTGTTATGCATAACTAGAAAGATTGTCATGTATAACATATTTAACTAGAAAAGGTGACATGTATAACTAGAGGCAGTGTCATGTAGGCCTATAACTATAGCACTTATAATGTATAAATAAAGATGGTTATAACAATACTAGGCGTCAAGCATAACTAGTATAGGAATCATATATAGCTAAATCAATTTCGAGTAGAAATTACCAGTGCATTTATAAATCCCATTATTTGATAGAAAATCTGAAAGAAAGTTTTGTATGAAAAATAAACCGGGAGTGATATCCCCTAAACTTTCTCGAATATTCTTATATAACTTGGAATATAGACATGATTTTTAATTACTTACACTTTTAAAAATAGAATAGAATCTCGTAGAAAAAAGAATTGCGCACCAAGCGAACGCCAAAACAAAATGTGCATAATAGTGCGGAATATTATTAGTACTTTTTAAATTTACATGCGTTTTTTGAGAAATCGGAAATAGCGTAAATTAGTACTTCCCGTCAACGGAAATTACTCAAAATTTGATAGAAGGTAGAGAATTAGATCTTTTACTAACATGTGAAATTTTATTTATCTATCTGAAATAGTACTCAAGTTATAGGCTTTTGAAAAATTCAAAGTAGAAAAAGTACCACTTCCAGTTATCGGAAATCGCTCAAAAGTTGATACGGATCTACGATTTTGATAAAATACTTATATATGAAATTTCATCAACCTAGCTATAACGGTACTCAAGTAATCGTGTTTACACACAGACAGACACACACACAGACAGACAGACACACAGACATACGGACAAGATTGCAAAATTATGTTTTTCCGTATCCGTGAGGTGTAAAACGTCGAGATTTGTGAAAATCTCGATTGTTTTCTGCACGATTACAAGACTTTCTCTATACTTCGTATATACGAGAAAGTAAAAATGACAATTTTCCCTCTTAACCTCTCTTCTAGGTATGGGATGAAGATCTTGCATCACAGGCTAGAACAAACGTCATTAGATTGCCTTACGTACACTGGAAACCTGAAAATCTACACCTGAACGTTGCCTCTAACTTTGGCTGGGAGTTCAGAGGTCAAAATGTCATCGCTGAGGTCATAAGGGTCTGGTTCAGTAGAGTCCAAATTTATAATTTCAGCTATAAATTATGTAACCCGATTAACGAATGTAAAGAGTTCCGCAATGTGAGTACATAAATAATTTACTTAAAGTGATATTGCAATAATTAAAATATATGTTAGTTTTGGTTTATATTTCTAAAAAGTGTACATTATTCAATATATCGAACTATTTAAAAAAAAACGAAAACTTAACTGCTAAAAGGCAAATCAACAAAAAGCTGATTAGTTTAAAAAAAATTAAACTTTTTAAATGTTTGTGGCAAAGTGTTGATATTTAAATCTCTTTTGTGTTTTAGATGTTTGATATTTAAAATCCCTTTTTGTTTTGTTTTCGAAAGAGCGACACTTAAATATTGTTTTTAAATATTGAAAAAAGAAAGTCTATTTTACCTAAATAAACATAGGCCTACTAAGATCATGTGACCAGGATATTTTTATTTTGTTTTATTCATCTCTTTCATAACTAAATAAAATATATAAATATACGATATGTAAAAATTTGATAAAATTACTGCAAAATACAGGTTATACTCAACAAGCAAAAACATTAATAAAAATAATTTTATTATCTTATTGTTTTTTATTTTATTACAGTTTTTCTGTCCCTTATAACATAAAAAATTACATATTATATATAAAAAAGTTATTTTTGTTGCAGTTGGTGAACGCAAAGTTTCACAGCATAGGCTGTGCTAGCCGTCGTGTTGCCAGTCGAAGACCTGCTGACGTTCTTTTTTGTTTATATAAAGGGAAGTAAGTCAAAATGTTTAAAATTAAATATATAAAGGGAAGTAAGTTAAACCGTTTAAAAAAAACAAATATATAAAGTGAAGTAAGTCGAAAAGTTTGAAAACAAATGATAAAAACAAAGTACGCCTTTGTTTAAAAAAAATACAACCATTATATACCTGTTAAAGAGTATTTCTAATTATTCTTTCGCCAAATTAATATCCTAGTAAGAAAGTGAAATAAAAACATAAAATCAGAAACAAATACTATAAAAAAAAACCTTTCATGAAAGCAAATAAAAGACTATTCAACTCGTAAAATCTCAGTATTTTTGATACTATCTTTTTCAGTCCAGGAACATCCGAGGAAGAATTCGGTTTCGAGTACGGCGAGCCGTGTACAAAGTGTGTTGGACCGAATAATTTTTGCAGGGAAAATCTATGTGGTTAGTGCATACATACTATATACATATATATATATATATATATCTATATATATATATATATATATATATATATATATATATATATATATATATATATATATATATATATATATATATATATATATATATATATATACATACATATATATATATATATATATATATATATATATATATATATATATATATATATATATATATATATATATATATATATATATATATATATATTTCGCAAGAATTGGCATAAAATTTAACAAAACATATACATCAAATAATAAAACAAAAGAAAGCAATAAACATAAGGGCTTTATTAACTTGCAAATAAAAAAAATATGTCTCTACATAAACAGATACAATGCGGTTTGTTTTTTTCAACAGAGAAATGTCACTCCGTAATTCGCTCACAATTTTACTCTTTTAATTATAACAATTATAACAAGTTGCGTCTCACGTATATTGTTTTCTGATTCGACCATCAGCATTTATTCGCCTCGCCCAACGTGTCGTTTTAAATTCAGTGTAAAGGAAAATGCTCGGGGTGGCAATTTTCTAATGTAAAGTAATACTGAGAGAGTGTAAAACAAATTTAAATTGCACTTTCCCCCACTGAATTCGTTCTCAACATGGGTTAAGAAAACTAGGAACCAGTGTTTCTTCCAGACTTGTTTCTCCATGTGGGGGGGGGGGGGGGGCACTTGAAATTTTGTTTGGGGGGGGGGGCGGTAGACTTTCTTTGGGGGGGGGGGGCACTGTTAAAAGTATATATTTTCTATATAAATTTCATTTCGTTCGGGGGGGGGGGAGTATTGAAAAATATCTACCCCCCCCCCTTACCTCAAGAAAATGTATACCCCTTCCGCCAAGCGCACTATAATTTATTTAGATAATATATATTTTACAAGTGTCCGTCTCCCCCCCCCCCCCATCCCCCCGGAAAATTTAGTCCGCAATCAAAGTTAGATTTTTAAACCGAGAACGAATTCAACGAAAACAAAAGAGCAATTAAAATTGTATTTACACACTCTGTAAAAAAGCTGTAAACTTTAACTTCATTGTGCCAATGCCGAGCCTGAAAACGCAGGAACTATTGATCTACTTCCTGGGAGCATTCAACGGCCTTGACATTAAGCCGAAGATGACCCGCCAGCCTATGTTAATTAAAAATGTAATGGTTGTTACTCGACATTATCCGATGTTTAATGAAAAAAATATAATTTAAAATGTTGAGGTAAAAAAAAAATATTCCTATGAACATCATCCGCCCACTCGGTTTTTTAACTTTTATTTGTTTACACAACTACGGCAATACTTGCGTGTAATACAATCTGCCAACATAACTTTAGAAGATCGTGGTTGGCAGTGGCGTATTCCACGTTTCTTGACCTCTGCATATGAAGGGATTGTGTAGTCAACATTATGCCCAGCCACCTTTACTTTCCACTATGAGTCGGGGCGAGGTTGGGTACGTTCTGAGGTCTCCAATTTGGACCAAGATCCAAACTCGATACCTTAAGGCTAGCAGTCGAGTGCTCTACAACATAACAACGCTATCCCAATACAATTTTGTTGGTAAAAGACATCAAATTCTTCAATTTTTTATTTGTTTTGGATTAGTCTGAAAATTTCAATTATTAATTCAGCGAATTATTTTTCTTTTTTCTTTAACCTTGAAGCCAACTATTTCTTTACTAGACTAAAAAAAATCGAAATTATATTGATAAGTAAATATGAAAGCATTCTTACAGCGCGTTTGCACTTGCAACATGTATAACAATACATGTCTATAAAAATAAACTTGCGTATGCCCACCTATGCAATGTACTAATAAAATTAACATATTTATATGGCGAAGTTTTGTGTAAACGCGGTATAAGCTATCATACAGGCCACACCCTGAATAGATACGCCACTTTGGTATGGCACAGTTAACGGTAAATTAGATTAAATTTTGCATAATTAATAGAATTATAAATGTCTAGGTAGGGTTTTTAAATAATAATTCACACTTTAGGAATTTTCCTTCTGTTTTGAAAATGAGATATTAAAAAATAAATAAAACGAAACCCAATACTGAAATATAAATCTATCTAATACTACTAAAAGTCAAGTTTGTTTACATGTTTGAATATTTATTTTTTTGTTTGTTTGTTTGTTTGGCTGATCGACTATTGTGATATGTTCTACTCTATCTGGAAAGCTGTAAAATAGTATGTAGGTAGAGAATTTTTTTTTAATGCAGACAGACTGTTAATCACAAATTTATTTAAAGACGTTAATTAATTTATTGATTTATTCATACGTATATTAACCACAATTTTTTAAAAAGATTTGAAAAGCCACTAGACTCGACGGAAACAGTGACGTCACATGATGTGTTTATTTTTTTACATCGATAATGGCGGCCTATCGAAGAAGATTGTGTTCCCATTCCAATGTTTAACGCGTTCTAAAGCTAATTTTCTGTCGGCTTTAACTTTAATAATACGTCCGTTTGCTGTATTTATTACGTTCCAACACTTATATCAATTTTAAACTGTCTTTTTCATTTAGTTTTACAATAAATTTCTCTAGATCTAAAGATCAGCTGTCGAAGGAAAGTTATGAATCTAGCCTAGATCTAGATCTAGCCTAGATCTAGGTCACTAGACTCAATGTAAATTCTAGATCTAGACTTAATGTAAATTCTACATCTAGAATCTATTTCAGGCCTTAATACATCTAGAATCTATTTCAGGCCTTAATTATGTTATATAAATCTTTGTTTGGCTAATTTAAGATAAAATTTAATTTGAAAGTTACTACTACTAGACTTAGATCTAGATCTATGCGCGTAAATCAAGTTGCATAAGGAGACTCAAAGTATAGTATAAAAATTCATTTGTGACGTCAGGAGTAAATAGCTAAGTTGGTAGCGTCGTCGGCTCTCATGCGTGTGGCACAGGTTCTAGACCAATATGTCAATGATATTTTTTTTTCAATTTTTTTTTAGATGTGAATGATAAAGTTGCCTATCTGAACTTGGCAAGATACAGGGCAGGTGAAGTAGAGTTCATCTGTTTCTTTGTCCTAAGCATTTGAAAGGATAGTGTGGTCAGAGACATGCTCGGCTGGAATCGTTTTTTAAACGATAAAAACATGTTGTCTGAGACTTGGCGGGACACTGGGCAGGTGAAGTAGAGTTGAGTAGGTCACCTGTGACGTCAGTATATGAAGGGATAGTCCGAAATCGGTGTTTTTGGTGTTTTTAAAAGATAAAAAAACATATTTTTGAATGTGGGGTCTGTTTTTTGTGACGATAAGTGACACTGCATTAGCGTAGCGAGGAGGGGGGGGACATATGTCCCCGGGCACCGACTTTAGGGGGCGCCAAAATGGGTTGGGAAAATAAATTGAAAGGTTGAGGGGGTGCAAATCGAAAGTTTGAGTGTGGGGGGGGGGGTTCAAATCGAAATCTTGAGGGAAGGGTGCACATCAAAAGTTTGGGGGGGGGGGGGGTTGCAAATCGAAATCCTGCGGGGCGGGGGGGGGGGGGTGTTCAAATCGAAAAGTTTGTCCCCGGGCGCCGGGAAGGGTTGCTATGCCTCTGAGTGACAGACGTGATGTTTTTTGATGGATGACCCCCGAAACCCACAGTTATCTAACGGATGACGGGTAGTCTAGTGTCAATTAAAAAAGACGCATTTGGCAACCTCCTACGTCAGCTATAAGTTGTTTTTTTTATTTATTAGTTTTTGTGGTTTCAATAACCCCATTCCCCTTCAAGCATATCATAACAAACTGTTTTTCTGAAAATTAGTTATTGTTTTAAATACATCTAAGGCTTTTATATAAAAAAAACACCAACGAATAAACTCTTGATGTGAATTTTAGCAATTAGACTATATTTAAAGCATACCATTATATAAAGAAAACGGAAGACTATGAACCAAGAAAAAAATATTTATTGACGTTGAAGTTTTTCAGTAATAAATGAAAGTGGCAACATTTTTATAACATCTATTCACCTATCATTCTAGTTGGACTTAAGAGGTTTAAAAATAAATATCGTAAGATCGGTTTTAAATTTAATTAACCTTTTAATCTTAGAAAAGAAAAGTAGAAACGAAATTCATAGGAAATTTTAAAATAGTTTCGAAAGAGGAACACAACAAACTTGATTGATATAGTGGCCGGATTCGTCTTGGTGCCGTTAGCACTCAGACTCTACTTGACTCTACTTGATTCTACTTGACACTACTTGACATCTTCAATAACGTCAGACACGTTTTGTTATTTTAACTATTGACCTCTTTATCGGAGAAAATAAATAATGTCACATCGATATTCACATCCACATCTACATCATACAAGGTACACAGATTATACTTCTCATAACCATGGTGCGCAGCATCCACATCCACATCCACATCCACATCCACATCCACACCCACACCCACACCTACACCCACACCCACACCCACACCCACACCCACACCCACACCCACATCCACATTCACATTCACATTCACATGCACATGCACATGCACATGCACGTGCACATGCACATGCACATGAACATCAACATTCACATTCACACTTGCACCAACATCCACATCCACACCAAATTCACTTCCGCATCCATACGCTTGTGTAATTGATTTAAATAGGTAGCCGGTTAAACCTTTTCTCCTGTAAATACGAATACACACACATATTCATAGTGTAACCATATTCCCAGACATTTGTATAAAGACACACTATAATTATAATTTAACACAACACTATACACTTTGTTTAAAAAAACCTATTTAGTTCATATATATATATATATATATATATAATATATATATATATATATATATATATATATATATATATACTGGTGTTGTAATATGCTGATTTTTAAAATAATGTTCATCCAAGTAATGACGTTTTTTTTTACTTTACAGTGGCATGTAACAACCAAGATAACTGTGGTAGGTATTTTTTTTCTAACTGTATAATTTTAAATTTAAGAGCAAAAAATAATAATTTTTTTTCTAGATTTTTAGGGCTCTTTGTATGGATGTTTAAAAACTATATTCCTTTTGAGAATTATTTGAAGGTTTTATTTAGTTCACAATGTCTGTTTGTTTAGAGGTTTATGGCGAGTATATATATATATATATATATATATATATATATATATATATATATATATATATATATATATATATATATATATATATATATAATATATATAAAGCTCAGTTCTGTATGTATCGCATATGTTTGTCGTTGGTCTTCGATGGATTTAAGTGTTAGACAATCATCGTGCGCATTTGTCTAAATTTATGAGTTAAAAAATTACTATTGAAAGTGTTGGGAAATAATTTTCATTTTTCAAATTATAGTAATAATTGTCGGCATGTTCATTAAACACAAGTTTTAAAAAAATATCATCTTTTACAAAAATTCTAATTATGTCTTTATTTAGTCCTATAGCACTTACTTCCCTTTGATAAATTAGGAAAACACAATTACTTCCCTTTATAAAACCATTGCATTTGTGGAAAAGAATTTACTTTTTAATTACTTTGTTTTGGTGTTGGGAAAAAAAATAATTACATAATTAGCGGGGATTGATCAAGTGCAAATGTTGTAGGTATTTTACGGATAAGCTTGGAGTATTATAATTGTTCATCAAATTGAAACAGGCGCGTTCGTTTAAGTGAGTGCAAAAGACTATGAATAAGTTGGGGTACTATAGTCGTTCATTAAGCTAAAACAGGTGAATCCCCCCCCCCCTGGCGTTTATGTTCGCGTTAGTGTTTTCTTTGTGTTTAGGTGGGTTTGCGTTAGTGGTTGCGTTTTGATTTGGTTCGTTTTTATTCTTTCTTTTTTCGTTTTTGTTTGTGTTTTTTTGTTTGGGTTTGTATTTGTGTTTTTGGTTGGTTTTGCGTTTGGATTTGGTTTGTTTTCGTTTGCTTTTTCGTTTTTTTGTGTGTTGTTATTGGTTGGTATTGGTGTTTGTGGTTGTGGTTGGGTTTGTTGTTAGGTTTTTGTTTTCGTTTGCTTTTTTGTTTGTTTTTTCTTTGTGTTTGTATTGGTGTTTGTGGTTGTGGTTGGGTTTGTTGTTAGGTTTTTGTTTTCGTTTGTATTTGTAATTGTGTTAGCGTTATGTTTGCGTTTTGTTGTTTTGGTTTTGGTTGGTTGTGGTTTGGGTGGGCAATGCCGGGTTTATGATGATTACTAAACACACAGGTAATGGTCTTAAACAGAAAGGTTTTTCACAGAAGCCAGAGCAGGGCCTGGCCGGGACGGCTAGTATATATATATATATATATATATATATATATATATATATATATATATATATATATATATATATATATATATAAAATTAACAATAACGAAATTCAACCATGAAAGGGACATAACCAGATTAAATTGTAGTGTTCGCTCGATCAGCTAACCGACGACTGTGAACTGCTGGTCACGGTTGGTTGGTTTCTTGCCAGAGTGTTGACCACGGACTGTGAAGAGGCATCACAAGTTACTGATGGGGGGGTTGTCGGCTTTTTAAAAATAAATTAAAAAAACCTTTTTAAATACACTAAATAATACAACAAATTTGTTTTCCTTATTTAAACGTATTTTTTCGACTAAAGTTTGTTACATAAAAAGCAAGATTGGTTTATTGTTTTCAGATTTTCATTCATTTAAAATATTATCATTATTATTGTATTTATTTATATTTGTTTAATGAAAATTAACAAAGTGAATAAAGTTGTAATTAAATATGTTAGTGTAGTAAAGTAAAGTGAAGTTGCCCTTCTAAACCGGACGGCCTATGGGGCAAGTGAAGTAGAGTTCACCTGTTTCTGTGACCTCAGCATATGAAAGGATTGTGTGGTCAGCACTATTCCCAGCCATTTTTACTTTCCCTAACGTGAGTTAGGTACCCATCAGAGCTGAGTGGACTCAGGGACGTTCTACTGACTTGAACCCGGATTTGGACTCGATACTTCCGGGCTAGCAGTTTAGCGCTCTACTGCTAGGCCACTTAGTATGTGCTAAAACACTGTCCAATATTTTACAGACTGTCGAAAAACATGTGCAGAAAATAACGTAGGCGCAGGCGTTTTAGACCGCAGTACGTGCACATGCACGTGCACCTACGGGAACGGACCAAACTGTGATCGTGAGTATTTTCCTTTGTTGAATTCACTAAACCAAGTAAAATTTTTTTTTTAGTTTCAGATATCTGTCATTATTTATTTAAAATGTTTTCAAATACCAGAGATAAAATGTATGGGATTTTAAATATTTTTTTAGTTATAATTATCTGTGATATTTGAGATATATAGAATGTTATACTTTGTCTCTTAATATAGATAATCGTTCAAATGTATATATATATATATATATATATATATATATATATATATATATATATATATATATATATATATATATATATATATATATATATGTACGCTACCCAGTTACCGAGTAATATAGTATAATACCTTCACGTGTACACACATATTCTGCAACCTTTGAACGGCATTAGAACTCAATTATATTCTGCAACTGAATACCCTTTCTAAAATTCATAGATATAGTATTGCTTTATAATATTTAAAGAACATCATTTTATTTTCTTCTTCATTTTTGTGTGCATGAACAAACCTTATTAATATAAACATTTTAAAAATATTATTTAATTAAGAATGCTTTCCACCCCCCCCCCTTTCCAGAGCCGTGTAGAAACATACAGATATACAACACGCTTGACATCTGCCAGTTGGTCGTTGATGAACAGGATTGTCAAGCTCCAGAAATGATCGAGGACTTCAAAAAGTTCTGCCCTTTATCGTGTGGCTTTTGTCGTAAGTATTCTTTATACACAAAGGGGGTGGGTGGTGGTCTAGCGGTAGAGCTTTCGACTGCTAACCCGAAAGTCTGGGATTCTAGGTTTGTGTCTGTACTATTTCCCTGAGTCAACCCATCTCTAGTGGGTAAAGGAAAGCGAAGGGGGCCTGGCTACAATATCCGAGGTAATTGAAACAGTTGAACTCTACTTCACCTTCTCAATGGACCTTAAGGTTCGAAAGGGTACTTTACTTACTTTTCTTTATACGTCGTACTTCACATATATAGTAATATTTAAAATATTCCGCAATAGATTTTTGCTAAAAGTGAAGATAATCTGCCTTTACGTTAATAAAACGTCACCATTTGTTTATTTTTGTTTTGGTAACTTTACGCAAGGCGTCTTAGTAACATTAGAAACTAAACAGTGACAGAAGCAAATGGTAATTAATCTACTGTTTAAAGTTCAAGATTTGTGAATTTTAAAATTTTTAGGTAATCGATGTTTGGTTAACATGGGTTTCCTTTTTGATATTGAGCGATAATAGTTTTTTTTGTGTTACACAAACATATGAATACTATTTCCTAGTTAAAAAGTTTTGCCGTAGGATGTGAAAAAAAGAGTAACAATCAAAAACCGTTGTAATGATTAGAGGGGTCGTCCAAAAATGACGTCACGCTATTAGGGAGTAAAGGGTTTGTTATTTTTGACAATGTTTGATGATGGGAAAGGGGTGGGGGGGTAGCGTAGACAGTGTGACGTCACACTTTTGCATTAAAAAAAAGTAATGTCAAAAATTGAATTTTACTAAATTATTTCGTGTTTTTGAAAACTGTTTTTGTAAAATGTAAAAGAAATTGATTAATGTACTCTATGTCAACCGCTCTGACTGTGAAGGGTTGTAGGGAAGGTCTAGCTTTTTGTGACAATGTGTGACGTTGGAAGGTGGGGGGGGGGGGGGGTAAAAAGCGTTAAAAAAAGCGTGACGTCGTTTATGGATGACTCCCTTATGAGATATATTTTTAAAACATTTTATTTTTATGTTTGAAACAGGACCTGCACCACAAAGTGGAAATACGACAAGCAGCTGAAGTAGTCAACTTTCTACACAAATACCCCAACATTTTCTAAACTATACTTACTCTAAGCTATTGTAAATAATTAAGGCTTCTAGTAATCTCTGATCTATATAAAACATTATATATATATATATATATATATATATATATATATATATATATATATATATATATATATATATATATATTTGTATATGTATATATTTGCCTCTCTCTCTCTGTATATATATATATATATATATATATATATATATATATATATATATATATATATATAAATATATATATATATATATACATATATATATATATATATATATATATATATATATATATATATATATATATATATATATATATATATATATATACATATACGGTTATAATTATATTAAAAGAAAACATTAGTTAAAAGCAGAACAGATTACATTAACTACTAAATTAATGTTGAAGTGTTTCCAAAGTTGTAAATTCAATCAATTTATACTTTTTGTAGCGGTTAAATTTAATTCTGTTAAATTTGTTTGACATTTTACCTTGTATTTATAAGGAGAAGAATTCATGTGTAGAAACTATTATTTATTATTGGAATGTGAATAGTAACGATCGTTTGTTTAACTTGAAAAGTTCTCTATGTCTCAGATTTCTACTTTAAAATAGGAAAATTCTATAATACAAGAACATTTTGAACCAGAAAAATGTAACGTATTCGATTTAATGATTAGTGATCCATTATAAGCTCAGGTTTTTATTATTTATTTATTTTACAAACCTTTTACAGTTTCATTTCTATTAACATTTTTTTTATTTGCTTCACAAACTCTGAAGCAGAATATCCTTTCGTTTTTTTTAATTTAATGTGACCAGTGTTATGCTCATATAATATTATTCAGTTTAAAAATCTTATAGACTGTCTCATTATGCCTTACAAAGCTACACGCCTTCAATGTACTGAATATAATGTCAAAACCAATTAGAAATCAAAACAGAGGACAAAAAATATACAATTTTAAAATAAATTTTGAATTGAAAGAAATGTATGAAGTTTATTAATTAAAACACCTTTCCAACTATGGTTTATTTCTTCCTGATAAGAAAAAAAAATGAGGTAAATTAGTAAAAAAAAGTTATTTATAGCCCTCTCATTGATTTTGCTTAGGAAATATAAAAAATGAAATTAATTTAAAGTAAAAATAGAAAGAAAACCAATTGTCATAAATGGATATATTTTAAAGCATAAAAAGATTTTTAAAATGTTATGTAAAAATAAATGTGTTGTCATTTACAGTTAATAGATTTATCGTTTAAATTTAAATTCTCTATGGCTTTTTATTCAGTAACTAAGATAATCATTGTGCTATGAAATAACTTGTATGTATAAAAAAAATCCACTTACTTTAATTTACTAAAATAGGAATTAAATAGTGTCTAAAAATGAACAACGGTAATAAAATATTTTAAAAATAAAATAATTTTGCATTGTATTTTTTGGAGTGCAAAGAATGTCAGGAGGTAATTTTATATAGACAAACAGCAAGCAGTGGCTGATGGATTTAAATGGTAAAGGGAGATAAAAAAGTAAATGGCAGTATATAATTACAAGGGAGATAAACGTCTGGCCCAGATATTGCCAGCTAGTATTACATTTTAAATTATTCTTTACAGATCCAAAGGTTGAATGTTCATAAACAAAACATGAGAAGCTGCATTTTAATGGACACATTAGTTTGATATTTTGAGACATCTTTCGTTTTTCGTAAAGAATTCCTTGATCGTCGCTCTTCTGATTTTTAACAGAAATTTGATCATTTTTATCTGAATGTCATTTTAAACACGAGGTAACGTTTTCTGGACACAACACGAAACCAGTCTATAAATTAAAAATGATTTTAATTGCAAGAAAATATTCACATATAAATTCACAATTGATAGTCCAGATGCAACACTATCTCTTTTCGGTATTATTTTAATACAATTCTTTATAGTACTTTTATTTTTTGGACGTTAAAAAAACACAACATGAGCTAAGATATAAAAATATATCAAAATGTAGTTGGAACAGTGGCGTAGCCAGGATCGTCTCGAGGGGGGGTTCCAATTTTTACCCGGGTACAAACTTTCGATTTGCATCCCCCCTCAAACTTTCGATTTGCACCCCCCTTCAAACTTTCGATTTGCACCCCCCACAAACTTTCGATTTGCACCCCCCTTATACTTTTTATATATACCGAAGGGTCTATGGGGGGGGGGGGGGGGGTTATGACCCCCCTAACCCCCCCCCTGCATACGCCACTGAGTTGGAAGAAGTTTTTGTGTTATCCCTAGAGGAAGATAGTGGTGAATTTTTTTTCCAACGCCCTGCGACAGTGCTAGGATTCTATTTATAGCGTCGTCTCTTAAACGCATCAGTTTGTATTGTTCATGGATGTGAAAGAAAAAATTAAAGTTCCTTTCTAGGGTACATGGGACAACTGAAGTAGAGTTGACATGTTTCTGTGACCTCGGCAAATGAAGATATAGTGTGGTCAGCTCTATGCCCAGCCGCCTTTGTTTTCCCTAACGTAAGTCTGGAACCCATCACAGCTGGGTGGTCCCAGGGACGTTCTACTGACTTGAACCCGGATTCGAACCCCAAAACTTTCTGGTTAGCCGTTTAGAGGTCTACTATGTGATAATTTAATCTAGTAGTGTTTCTGAGTTTTTCCACTGTCTATTCTCACCTGTATTATGGCATGAAATGGTGAAAGTGGTAAGAGATCAACTATCGATCTGTCTAAGACCCTACGGGAAAAGGACATTACCCCCCACCCCGCTACGTCAATTCCCCCCTCTCGACATTCACCCCAGGCTTGATTTAGGGTCATGATTCTTGAGCTTTGGATAAGGGGGAGGGTAATTAATTACCCAGGGGTTATTACGCTGACGGAGGGGAGGGGTAATTGCTCCGGAATAATGTCGGGTAATTAACAGGGGGGGGGGGGTAATATCCTAGACTGACCTAGACCAATACTTTACTCTGTAAACCAGAGAAAATTGTCTTACAGTAACTGTGCTTGTCGTCTAGAACTCGTCCAGTGCGGCAGGGGACTAAGACCTTACTCTCAGTGTTTCTTCCAGACTTTTTTCACCTGGGGGGGGCGGTATTTTTTTGAGGGGGGGGCGGACACTGTTAAAAGTATATATTTTCTATATAAATTTCATTTCGTTGGGGGTGGGGGGGGGGGTCGGGAAGGGCGGTAGACCTTAATCGGGGGGGGGGGGGGGGGGGCTCCGTCCCTCCCCCCCCCCCCCCCCCCCGAAGAGATGCCTGGAGGTCACATTGTCACCATAAAGGGAAACAGCGCAATTAAAACAATATAGAAACAGGAAAAATAAGGATAATTGCTGGGTTTGTGTTGAGTTGTAAAGTCATTTTAGGGAGTCGGACATGGTCTTTCATTGACGGTTAAAGGTTAAAGGTGTGGGGTGTATGTGTGTGTGTGTAGGTTGGGAGGGGGGTGGTCAAATAAAAATGGGCAAAACAAGCGTGACGTTATTTATGGAATACTGTTGACTGACTTTTTTTTCTACCGTACATCTAATAACTTGTGCACCAACTCAAAATTAATTGTTGAGAATATGATGAACACACACACACATACTCACACACACTCACACACACTCACACACACTCACACACACACCCACCCACATCCCCCTCCCCCCACACACCCCCATACACACCCACACACACCCCAACACACACACCATCCCACACAGCCTAACCCACACACTCATACACACACTCTCTCTCTTTCTCACACACACAAACACATACACACAAACACACACACGGCTAGGATTTGTCGCGGCTAGCATGGACTCCGCCCATTATGGTATAATAAATATAATGATGTGATCTGTGTGATAGTGTGTATCGAAAGAGTAGGGGGGGGGGGAGGGAGGGGGTATTGTCATACTTATATGACACTACACAAACATGCATTAAAGAGCTGTACAATTTTAAGCACTTTTAAATAGTTGGTCTTGTGCATTCGTATAAGTTATCCAGACACAAACTCTTCAGCTTCAATCAACATAACACCCGCACAGCTGTTTACATGAGGCAGAAAGTATCATTGTTATTCGAACTCGCTGGCAATTTAGTTTCGTATAATTTAGATTGCGTACAATTTCATTATCGAGCAATCTAGAAAATCTCGCACTATTTTGTTAGAGTACAATATTAAGGGGGTAAGATCCTGAAAAAAAAAACCGAGAAAAAAACTTCTTATTACTAAGCCTTTTAAAATTTATTTGTGTATGTATAAGTTAGGGTACTTAATGGAAAATATTAGCATGTACCAGCGACTCTTTTGAAAATATGGTTGCCATGGCAACGGCAGCCATCTTGGAAAAATTAACCTTTTAAATCAATAAAACGTTTTAATTAAGATGTTTTTTCTAGAGCCTACCCCCTTAAAGAACTGTTTGCTAGAAAATTAAACAAATATAAATTGTTACGCGCCCAAAGGATGACTACGTATGTCGATGAGACCAAAGGATGACTATGTATGTCAATGAGACCAAAGGATGACTATGTATGTCAATGAAACCAAAGGATGACTAAGTATGTCAATGAGACCAAAGGATGACTAAGTATGTCAATGAGACCAAAGGATGACTAAGTATGTCAATTAGACCAAAGGATGACTATGTATGTCAATGAGACCAAAGGATGACTATGTATGTCAATGAGACCAAAGGATGACTATGTATGTCAATGAGACCAAAGGATGATTATGTATGCCAATGAGACCAAAGGATGACTATGTATGTCAATGAGACCAAAGGATGACTAAGTATGTCAATGAGACCAAAGGATGATTATGTATGCCAATGAGACCAAAGGATGACTATGTATGTCAATGAGACCAAAGGATGACTATGTATGTCAATGAGACCAAAGGATGACTAAGTATGTCAATGTGACCAAAGGATGACTATGTATGTCAATGAGACCACAGGATGACTAAGTATGTCAATGAGACCAAAGGATGACTATGTATGTCAATGAGACCAAAGGATGACTATGTATGTCAATGAGACCAAAGGATGACTATGTATGTCAATGAGATCTCCGCTTGTTGTTGATATCACTAGCCTATTTATAGTTGACCCCACAGTTACCTTTGATTTCTTAATTATAATTACAATATGGGGAAAAAGAGTGGTTTGCGAATACAGTATTTTAAGAGACAGTGTGGAAGATTGTGAATTCCCAATCTTCCTAAAGGAATTTGACTATCTTTTACTGAAAAAATACTGTTATTGATATTAGTTTTTTTGTTAAACGCCAACGTAAAAAAATGCCTTCGTGTTGACTGTTGTAACTGTTATAAAAAAAAGTTTTATGATTGTTATTATTACTATTATTAGGGCCTATTACTATTTTTATTATTAATATTATTATTATTATTACTACTATTATTATTTTTATATATTATTATTACTATAATAATAATAATAATAATAATAATAATAATAATAATAATAATAATAATAATAATAATAAAAATAATTGTTATTATTACCACTAAAAGTATCTGTACACATTACCTATACCCCTCACCACACACACCTAGCGGTTGTGAATTGTCGTTCTTTGTAAAATTAACCCTGAAAAACAGAACAACAGTTTAGACAATTAAAATAGTAATTAGCGATGTTTATTGCTCTGTGTCCCCTTCACGGTACGTATTTCTAGCTAACAAGGTAAAACGGTTTCGTGGTTAGCCAGAAACGGTAAACAATGAGTTGATTATCCTGCGCAGTAGTAGTTTAATGAGAACTCTTTGACGTCAAGGTTTTGATATACACCTCTGATATGAAATTAACCGCTTTGTTGTGCTGTTATTTGTGAAAGAGAGAGAGGGAGAATTTTTTGTTATGTATTTATTTTGCTGTTGGTCTTTCGTAAAGTGCGTTTGTAAAATTAATTCGGGCACTATAGAACAGGAAGTAGGCAGGTATAAAAGTCAGAACAAATTGCAAACACGATTCACTTATTTTCAGTGTTAATAAACGTGTATATTTTAAGAATTTAATTTATATACTTTTGCTTTGCGTAGACTGAATAGTCAAAATTTTTTAATACTTTCAGATTTAATTAAATGAAATTAATAAATGTATATAAATAAAAGTGGCTTAGCTGTTTAACTTAAATTATTGTACATTTGAACATTTTCTTTGAGAAAAATGTTCACTTTAAGAGGTCAGCGCTTGATGCATTTTATACTTTTTATCTGGTTGGTGACTCAATGCGGCTATACCAGTGGTCAAGTCAAAGGTCAAGGTGAGCTTTTCAGTTTGCATTTCAACATTCCAAGTAGTATATATATATATATATATATATATATATATATATATATATATATATATATATATATATATATATATATATATATAGGAGCTAGCGGTAGAGCGCTAGACTACTAACCTGAACGCCACTGAGTCTACCCAGTTCTGATGGGTACCTAACTGACGTTAAAGAACGGAAAAAAGGCGTCTGGGCATAGTACTGACCACACTATCCCTTCATATCCCGAGTTTACAAAAATAGGTGAACTGTATGTCACTTGCCCCATGGACCGTCAAGTTAAAAAAGGATATATATATATATATATATATATATATATATATATATATATATATATATATATATATATATATATATATATATATATATATATATATATATATATATATATATAAATAATTAAATAAATAAATAAATAAATAAATATATATATATATATATATATATATATATATATATATATATATATATATATATATATATATATATATATAAAATATATATATATATATATATATATATATATATATATATATATATATATAGTGAAATTTATGTTTTTCATGAAAATGAGTATTTAAGAATATAGTCTTAAAATCGACCCGAGTAAGCCTTGTAAGATGTAAACGTAAGCAGTGTGTTCTAGCTTCCTTCCCCCACCTCCTTCACACCCTTCTTGCCTACGTCTAAAACACGTTGTATTGTAGTTATACCTCATACCTATCAGACAAATGCCCAGAGAAACCCTCAGGTGTGACGTTAACGGCCGAGGCCAACCTTGCAGGCGAGGGCGTCCTGCCCTGCTCGCTGAACGAGTACCCAGGGGACGACGTGGTGGTCAGGTTTACCTGGGAGGTGGATGGCGTCACTAGCAACACCTGGGTGAGGGAGGTCAAGGGAGAGAAGGCGGCAACTCTTCCTGCAAAAGACATGGATGTTGACTTGTTTGAGAAAAAGGTGAAAATATAGTTAACAGTACATTTGTTTTTAACATATAATCCGATAAGGCTAACCTTTACGCAAAAACTGAGAAACAGTATCCTTTTCATACTTTAAACAATAAATACATTAGCTTAGCTTTATCTTAACGTTAACTCTTTAAACTGATTTTTAACTAAATAAATTCTTATCCTAAAAATTCTTTCATTCCTCTACTTCAAATAACAATTTAACTTTATCGTAGAGCGTTAATAAAGCATCGTTTTGATTCACGTTAAAATAAACTCATAAATAGCCTAGGCATTTATTAACGAAGTTGATTGTGTAAGATATGGTGTGCTAATTACATAAAAAGTATCTAACATTCACTTTGAAAACTGGCTACAGTCATGTCATAACGAATGTCATTGTTTCTATTAATACTTCTTTGGCATCATCTATTTAAGTTACCTAATTTAAAAATGTAACTAACCACTCGTTAATCCTTAAACTAAAGCAATATTATTTTCTGTTTTGCGTGTACTTTTTCGGTAACACAACAGCTTATTTTCAACTTTAAAACGAATTTTTCTATACTCAGATCAAGTGCTTTGCCGAGCTGAAATTTCAAGGCGGCAAGTTTTGTGACAAAATAGAAAGTGACACTATCACGCCAACAATAACGGTACATTTTAAAAAAAAATTTCACACCTCAGTTAACTGTACAATGTATATAGAATCTACCTTATTCTTAAAGTTTGTACAATTCTCCATTTGAATAAAACGGACGGCTCCCTCGTTACGCCTACAAAATAGGACACATATTTCTAGATGATGTTGTAGATGTTGACTGGCGTCCGGAAGCGATTTAGCTAGTAATGCTATAATGCTCAATAAAAAAAATACATTTTAAAACATGTACCCATGCAACTCGAAACATATTTTATTTTAAATTCATCATCATCATCCCTTAATCCTTACTGAGGTCTTTGTGGCACCATAGTTGACGTTATAATTCTCCGACAAACATCTCGGTCCTCTGCCATTTTGATTAGTTCTAAGACAGGTAGCCCCGCCCAATCCTTGATGTCATCCATCTAGTGACGTCTTTGCCTTCCCCTTCTGCTCTCTCCCACCACGGCGCCTTGTAATATAGTTTTGGTTAGGCTCACAGGCGTAGCGGGAGGGGAGGGGGTACATATGACCCCGGGCGCCGACCTTAGGGGGCGCCAAAATGGGTTGTAAAAACAAATCAAAATCTCATTTTAGCTGCAGTTTTGCATTATAAATATATAAAAAAAATATATAATGGGGGGTGGTGCAAATTGAAAGTTTGAAGGGGGGGGGGGGAGTGCTAATTGAAAGGTTGTTCCCGAGGGGGGCGCCAAATTAAAAGTTTATCCCCGGGCACCTCTGGGTAGGCTTTTCAATTGCTAAAACACCACATATAAGAGGGAAAAATTTAGTAAAACGTGTAAATAATTGTCCTTTGTTTCACCGCAGTGCCCAGCGCTAACACCTATCACAATAGCAGAAGGGGAGACCCACACAGTGGACATGAAACTCAACGCCCCGCCCTCAATGTACTGTAACTCTAAGCGTAAGCCCGACTGTGGGGTGGATGTCTTTTTGGAGCTGGTCCCACACGTCCTAGACCTTAAGTAAGTTGTGTCATCCAGTCTCGAGCTGTGTTGTTAAATTGTTGAAAGTTGTGTCATCCAGTCTCGAGCGGTGTTGTTAAATTGTTGTAAGTTGTGTCATCCAGCCTCGAGCTGTATTGTTAAATTGTTGCAAGTTGTGTTATATCTAAAGATCGATGACCGGAAATATGCGCAAGAAAAAAAAATTGCGCAACGGAAATCTGCACACAAAAAAGTGCGCAAGGGTATTTATCTTTTTTAAAATCGAGCATTTTTAGACATTAACAAGGAGTGATGACATGAATATTGTAGCATAAAACATATTTTCACGAAGTGTAAGAAATTTAAGTGATTTCTGTCTTCGCAGTTTTCGATGCGCAGTTTACCGATTGCGCATTTTCTGGGAAGCCTAAATATTACATTGGTTTTCTTTAGGTAACTTTGGTTTACATATATATATTACATTTGTTTTCTTAAAGTAAATAGTGCTTCACTTAAGTAATAGATTTGTTTTGTTAAATTAAGCATGCAAATTAAATGTTTATATACATTAAAAATATATTGGACGACACCATATGAAACTGCACACAATCGAGGTTGATATCCCCCCGTTACCCGCAAAAGATGTGATAAAAATGGTTAATCGGGTATACATTAATCTAAAACCATTTTATTCATATTATTTAAAAACAATGAGGCCAAACCTCCTATCTTTTGAGAATAGTATACCTTTCTATGCGTAAAAAATAAGTGCTTTTTCATTGGAGCATTAATTTCTATTTCTATACAAGTGAAACTAAGCATTTAGAAAAAAAAAACCCAAAAAACTTTAGATATTAATGGAAACACTTCAGTTTGAACGAATATTCATGTTTGTGCATTTTTATTCAGGTTTCACGCGGTTAGAGAATAAGTAGAAATAAAATTCTAAAAATTTAACTTTGAATCGTGGGTGAATTTGCAGATTTTTTATCGATTGTAATATAGTCGAACCTATAGTATATCGGTGTTTTAAATTCTTTTGTTTTGACAAATGTGTTAGTCATCTAAACTTATTTGGTGAATTTCAACCATAGCAAGAGGTGACCAGATAAATGTGCAACAGAAAACTGCTCACCAAATAATGCTCACAACGAAATGAGTATTTTAAAACCATCATTTATAGACGTTAGCAAAGATTAACGACATTTACTTTATATTTTATAGAATAACAAAACATTTTTAACAAAATATAGTATTCGCGCACTTTATTGATTGCACAGTTTTCGGTTGAGCATTATTCAGTATTTGCGTTGTTAATTGTTTGCGTTCAGTATGCATTTGCAAATGTTAACCTCTTTTACTATTTGTTTATGAAAACAAGAGCTACCTTCAGGCCGCGGCTAGTAAAAAAAAAAGGCAGTAAAGATTTTGCATTAAGATACTGTATAATTTATGTTAATTAGCTCGCGCCCGTCATCCCACTGCCTCATCAAACGTTTCGTTTAAATTGTGGAAGTATACAGGTGAGGTGTTATTGATAAAGCATGTGGTTGTTGTTTAACCCACATGTAAACCACATGTCACATTGTGGTTAGTCATGGTGTTTGTTGTTGCTGTTTGCTAACCTCTGGGGTAGGATGCGGTGAGTGTGTGAGACGGAGAGTATTTCACGACCCGGAAGTAGCCTACATAAACCCAACTTACGTAGACACACAAACACAATCACGAACGTAAAACACATGGTTGTAGATGGTAGGCTTAGACTAACGCACGCTCTCCCATCCGCAGACTTACAAGTATAGACACGAAAAAAAACAACTCACACAAAAAACTACACACGCACAAGCACACACACACCATATATATATATATATATATATATATATATATATATATATATATATATATATATATATATATATATATATATATTCATATAAATAAATAAATACATAAATAAATACACATACATACACACCCACATATATATATATATACATACACACACACACATATATATATATATATATATATATATATATATATATATATATATATATATATATATATATATATATATATATATATATATATATATACATACACACACACACATATATATATATATATATATATATATATATATATATATATATATATATATATATATGTTTGTTTAGCATGATTCCTATCATATTAAGTCAAGGATTTAATTAAACTAAGCATTTCTCCTAACATTTTACCAACTGTCAATACTGTACCTGACAAATAAAAAAACTGTAAATATTATACCTAACAATCCAACCCACTGATCCCACGAACCAGGTGCACAGAGCAGGACATCATCCCACAAGCGGTCCTGCAGACAGAAGATTGCGTGGTCAAATTCACAAGAAAGACCTGGAAGACTGGCCTCTCCATCCCCATCAAAGCGGTTCTAGACGGCATGAAAGACGGCGATAGAAAAATTCAACTGCAAGTCACTGTCGGTATCAACGGGCAGGTAACTCTGATTTCTTCTTATTTCCTCGATTCTCTCCCTTGTTTTTACCTCCCTTGTTTACTAATAAAGTCGACTGTTTTATGTGAGCGATTTAATGTGTTGTGATGAATTCACAGACTCCCAAATACATAGAATGTGGAAGCGTTGAAGTGACAGTTACGGACGAAGATAAACCCGCTTTATGCAGCTCGCACGGTGATCCACATTTAGTTACATTTGACCAGCTGTAAGTTTACCCTTTGGGGTCATCCATTTATGACGTCCACACGGAGGTTGGGAGGGGGTGGGGGTGGGGGGTCCGAAAAACACATACAATAACATAATAATATAATTATTTTGAAATTATTTTGAATTTTAGACAAATGAAAATCGGATTATGTATTATCCATCTATTTCAGAACTTTTGATAACCAAATTTTCGGCGAGTTTGTTGTATACAAACACAAGACCCTACCTTATGAGGTAATTTACATTTAAATTAACTCTAGCTTAGCTTAAAATTAACTAAAAAAAACCATCCTCGGTAAATAGTTTAGCTCTTACTTTACTGACTCGCTAATTTTTCAAACGTTAAAGTTAAGAGTCAAAATAGCAGTGAACATACAATGTCTTATTTTAGAATTAAAGAGTGTAGCAGTATATTTTTGTTTTATCAGTCCTATGGATAGTCAGGTGCTATGAAATTTAAAGAATACACCAGTATATTTTTTTTTTATCCGTCTTATGAATAGTCAGGGCCTAGAAGATTTAAAGAATGTAGCAGTATATTTTGTTATAGTCAGTTCCTGGAAGATTTAAATAATGTAGCAGTATATTCTTGTTTTGTCCGTCCTATGGATAGTCAGGACCTAGAAGATTGAAAGAATACACCAGTATATTTTTGTTATAGTTAGGTGCTATGAGATTGAAAGAATACACCGGTATATTTTGTTTTGTCTACCACATCAGGTGAGAGCTGATCAAGTGGCCTGTACCCCTCCCTGGGGTGCTACGTGTAACTGTAAAGTTGCCGTCAGGGTAGGGGATGATGTTTTCACATTCAGGTTGGTCTGTGTTTTCGTATTTGTGCTAAAGTTTGATGCAGTTGACTAGTATGTGAAGTATTGATACAGCGATTAGTATGTAAAGTAACAAATAACCTGTGTTGTATTGCCATCTAGCGGCTGTAAAGGACCCATCACGACCGTGCAGTTGTACAAGAATGGCGGACTTACACCTGGTACATTCGTCAAGCGTTTTGGTGATGGAAAAAAATACGAGGTGACATTTTTATTGGTTTTTGTTGAAAAAGTTAATAACGAGGACAAAAATTACAAGAAGAAATTTTAATATGTTTTTGTTGTAAGCAAATACAAGTTGACATTTTTATAGTTTTTAGTTGTAAAATGACTTGGAAAAACATAAGAGGTGCATTTTTTATAGTTTTGTTGGAAATGTTAATTACGTGGAAAAAATTGTAAATGTAATATTTTAAGATGATTGAATATTGTTTCTATTTTTGAATGAGGAATTTGTGCAATGATCATAATTAACTTGTGTCAATACAAGGGAAATTCGACAAAACATTCAGCTTGGACAAATGTACACAAATAACATTGATACAATTTAAATTTTTTAGAAAAATATAAATAAATAATACAATAACCCTTTGTTATAAATACAATTATCTTTTAATGTAGGTTTATATGCCTACTGGAACTAAGATAACAATAGACAACAATGGCGTTTGTTTGAACATTTATGTTCATGGTTCGATGTCTGAATTTTCAAATACAGAAGGTAAAAGACATTTTTATATACGTATATGTTTGCATGTAGGGATATTTCATTTTACTATTCGTTTCTTGAAATATGTAAAATAATACAAAAAGTATAAGAATAATGATTACAGATTGGTAAGGTACATAACCCCCCGCTTAAGCAGACAGAAAGTATTATACACAATAAATATATATTAATGGTATCTACCTTTTTATAGGTATGTGCGGTAACTTTAACGGAAAGAAAGCAGACGACTTGGAAGGTGAAAGGGTCCAGGAGTTTAACATAAAGTGGAGGTAATTTTCTTGTGATTTGTATTTAGCTTTAGACCAATACCTTTTAGAAATAAAAGAGAGGATCATTTTAGACATGAAATGGAGGTAGTTTTCTTGTGATTTGTATTTAGCTTTAGACCAATACCTTTTATAAATAAAAGAGAGAATCATATTAGACATAGTTAAAAATGATATGATCAAAATAAAAATCTTAATTGTGATAAGCTATTCCTTAAAGGAAAAGCGAACACGTTTCGGCTTAATTATATTTTCTTCAATATAACACAGTGTATTTCACCGAAATTAATTTTTTTTTAAAACGTCGAACAGACAACATATTTAAATGTAATTGTTTTCAAAGACAACATATTTAAATGTAATTATTTTTCACATACAAACAGACAACATATTTAAATGGAATTCTATACATAGACAACATATTTAAATGTAGTTATTTTTCACATACAAACATAGAGCATATTCAAATTTAATTATTTTCCACAGACGAACAGACAACATATTTAAATGTAATTATTTTTCACATAAAAACAGACAGCATATGGAAATGGAATTATTGTTTTTATATACAAACAGATAGATATTTAACTGGAATTATTTTCCACAGACGAGCAGACAGCATATTTAACTGGAATTATTTTCCACAGACGAGCAGACAGCATATTTAACTGGAATTATTTTCCACAGATAACAAACAGCATATTTAACTGGAATTATTTTCCACAGATAACAAACAGCATATTTAACTGGAATTATTTTCCACAGATAACAAACAGCATATTTAACTGGAATTATTTTCCACAGATAACAAACAGCATATTTAACTGGAATTATTTTCCACAGACGAACAGACAGCATACTTAACTGGAATTATTTTCCACAGATAACAAACAGCATATTTAACTGGAATTATTTTCCACAGACGAACAGACAGCATATTTAACTGGAATTATTTTCCACAGACGAGCAGACAGCATATTTAACTGGAATTATTTTCCACAGACGAGCAGACAGCATATTTAACTGGAATTATTTTCCACAGATAACAAACAGCATATTTAACTGGAATTATTTTCCACAGATAACAAACAGCATATTTAACTGGAATTATTTTCCACAGATAACAAACAGCATATTTAACTGGAATTATTTTCCACAGATAACAAACAGCATATTTAACTGGAATTATTTTCCACAGATAACAAACAGCATATTTAACTGGAATTATTTTCCACAGACGAACAGACAGCATATTTAACTGGAATTATTTTCCACAGACGAACAGACAGCATATTTAACTGGAATTATTTTCCACAGACGAACAGACAGCATATTTAACTGGAATTATTTTCCACAGACGAACAGACAGCATATTTAAAGGCGTGGCCCCTAGTCCCACAGCAGCCATGCCGACTTACTGCTACTGCGTCAGGTTCAGAAAACCAGACTGTCGCACCAGTCTTGACAACTTCAGGTGTAACGTCTTTGACTGTAAGCAACAACGTTTCTTTAAAAAAAAAATAATTAAAACCAATGAGGAGTCCTTGAACTCCTCGAAATTGATCTGGATAGGGTGAGAGATCACACCCTCTACACCGCAATTTTTTAACTGCTTATTTTAAAGATCAAATTTAATCAACACAATTGAAATATTTTTTTTAATGTCAAATGTAGTAATTGGAAAAACAACGTAGTCGAATGGTAGAGTATACGACTTCTAGCCCGAAAGTCTCGAGTTTGAATCCGGGTGGAAGACGGTAGAATGTCTACACAGTTCTGATGAATAACCGACTCACGTTAGGGAAAGTAAAGGTGGTTGGGTATAATGCTGACAATATTATCATTTGATATGCCGAGGTTACAGAAAAAGTTAAACTCTACTTCACTTGTCACCCTTGGACCGTCGGGATCAAAAGTGAACTTAACTTCTACAAAAGTAGTTAAATATTTTACACTTTAAATCTACTTCTTAAAATTCTCCTTTAAAATATGCATGTTCATTTGCATAGCTAATTTTAGATTTTCTTTCAGTACATTTAAATATTCTTTTGTTCAAAAAAGCTAATGCAGGTTGTTTTAAACAAAAAATATTTGACTGTTAACATCTGTAAATGCTTCATTGTAAAGTTAAACAATTTTTCAATAGCTTTTCTACAAATTTCTAATTTAGTTAAGCTTCTCTTTCTGCTAGAAAATTAAAATCGGATTCACATATTAAATCACATAGAGAGTACTTTAGTCATATTAATGTGACATGATTTATTTTCAAATAATATCATATGCCAAAAGATTATTTTCTGTACATAGTAACCATCAAATACCATCATTACATGAAAGTAAAGATTTCATTTTGGACTTTATAGTCACTTGGGCACTTAAAGCATAGTTTATCTGTTTTTTCGGTAAGCATATGAAGGGAAATGATGGTGAGGTCAGTTTTGTGCACAGACGTTTGTTTACTAATCCCAACGTGAGTCAGGTACAAATCATGACTCATGGACATCCTACAGGCTCCACGGCCTAACTTTGAGACGTTTGGATTAGCAGACATGCGCGCTACCACCCGACCACGCCGCTAAATTATCGATATATTTTCAGTGTCTGACATCACTGATCTTCTGGTCAAACACGCCAAGACGCCTGCTCCAACCAAAACTACCAGACGAAGACGAGCAGACGACACTGTGAGTACACTATAATAGGGCTGGTAAGTAGGTCACCAACCAGTTTTATAGCTCATGCAGGTTTTATTGAGCTGTAGAACTGGTTGGTGGCCTATTTACCAGCCCTATTGCTCCGTTGGCTCCGAATTATTTATATTTTTACTCTACCATTGTCTTAGAAATATGTTTGTGAAACATTGAGCAGTTAAAAATAACTTTAAAATTACTTGATCTAATGACAGCGTTAAAGCAAATCACGCGCGGAGACAAAAGGTATACATATAGTATAACTTACAGAACAATGGTTTAATTTCTTTTGTTATTTAGCAACTTTTTCCAAATTTTAACTAATACTTTCTTATTTACGTAGTTTTGAGCATTTTTCAAGTATTTTTATGTTAAAACCCGTTTAAAAATTGATCAATTTATCTGAATACTAAGGACAGTTTTACTTTGTTAACATTCTTAAGTAGCATTCCGACTGACCCATCCAGCGCCATCTTATTGTTTCGATTCGAAACGGCTTCCATTTCTCATAGTAATCTATGATTTGAGCCATGCAGGAAGAATACATTATTTTGCATGATTAAAAACGAATGCTTACAACATTATTATAAGCCACTTTAATCCCCTAGCCTCCGGAAGTCGGATTAAAGGCTCCAAACTATACCAACGCCGAGGCTACGAAAATCTGCAAGGACATGATAGAAACCAGCAAAACTGTTGAAATCTGCCGCGACTACCTGCCCAACACGACAGTCTCACAGAGCATTACTGATTGTACTTTTGATATTGAGGTTGGTGACTGCTGATTGTCAAATACAACTCGGAGGCAGAGTTTCTTTCAGGCATCTCTGTTCCGACGCCCCCCCCCCCCCCAGAACAAAATAATTTGGAGCGGGACATTCAGTCTTTCATGGAGGCTTTATGATACCTTAGAGACTAGCCGTTTGATTCCTCTTGGGGAGTGGATATATGATTGTTTAGGGAGTGGTGAAATTGTTAGGGAATGCCAAGCAAAAATAAACGCTTAGTACGTGGTTTGGTATAGCGCTACGCCACATTTAGCACCTCTAATGTTGTATTATAATATGTATTCTGATACAACTTCCTATATGACTGAAAACAAATGTTTACCTGAAAGAGATTCAAAACTGTATTGTACAGAAATCATTTCTGACTTTGACTTAGTCCTCTTTGCTCCTTATGGAACGTAGGACCTTCATCATTTCCTTCCATTTCGTCCGATCCCCGGCTATTAAATTTGCCATCTCCCAAGACATCCCTGTTGGCTTCAGTTCTTCAAGAAGACTCCGCCTCCAGGTCTGTCATGGGCGCCCACTCTTCCGCTTTCCCTGGGGGTTCCACTCAAGCACCTTCGTGTCACAACAGCAATCACGTATAGCTCTTTAAATGCAACTAATAATACGCAGGCCATGTTAAAGCTTTAGGTTCGATTAACTGACTGCAACTAATAAGTTGTAATTAATGCTACGATTAATTAACTACTGCAACTAATACGTTGTAATTAATGCTAATGATACAGACCACAGGTGAGAGTGATTGGGCTGAGGCCCACGTCTCCACGCTAGCAGAGCTGTGTATCGCAGAAGCCAGGAAGGATCCAGATCTCTGGACAGGTAACGGCACCACACCTGGCGAACCCGAGCTGCCACAGGACATTGCTGGAGGACTTTGTGTCAAGGACTGCGGTCAAAACGGGGACTGTGTAAATGGTGAGTTGTATTTTCTAGGTCCACAACAAATTACTCAAAGACATATGCCAGAATTCCATTTAATGAAAGCCGTTCTCTCGAATGGACACTTGCACGAATGGGACAAATGCGAAATGCTCAAATAGACACTTGCCCGAATGGGACAAATGCCCGAATGGACACTTGCCCGAATGGGACAAATGCCCGAATGGACACTTGCCCGAATGGGACAAATACTCGAATGGACACTTGCCCGAATGGGACAAATACTCGAATGGACACTTGTCCGAATGGGACAAATGCCAAATACTCAAATGGACACTTGCCCGAATGGGACAAATGCTCGAACGGAAACACTCGGGCAAACGGTATTCGGGCAATTGCGTTTCGTGAAAAGTTCCGGCTCCGGTATTTTCAACATAACTTTGATGGCATGGTCGAGTTGTAGAGCGCACGTTATCTAAACCAAATATCCTCGAGTTCGTTTCAGTACTCGAATCAAAAGGTGGCCATAGACTCCACTTATCTTTGAGGCGTGAAATAAATTCAACTCTGCTGACCACGCAATCAAATTACATAGAGAGAACATAAAAGCTACCTAAGCAGTAGAACGCTAGGCTAATAACCCGAAAGTCTCGAGTTCGAATCCGGGTTCAAGTCAGTAGAACGTACCTGAGTCCACCCAACTCTGATGGGTACCTAACTCATGTTAGGGAAAGTAAAGGCGGCTGGGCATAGTGCTGACCACACCTTCCCTTCGGATGCCTAGGTTAAAGAAAAAAACATGCCCTTTATCTGCCCAATGGATCGCTGGGTCTAAAGAGGATTTTTTACCTTTTACATAAAAACATAAGCACAACGTATTCAAAAGTTTCCTCTTCGTAATTATTTAGCTTTACTCCTTTGTACTAACATACATAACAAATTAAAATAATGCCACATCCGTTTTCAAAATCTACTTTTTGCGCTTTAATCAGAAAAACTTGTCGTATTCCCCTTTTTGTCGTTTTAATCTGAAGCACTTGTCGTATTCCCCTTTCGTCGTTTTAATCTGAAGCACTTGTCGTATTCCACTTTTGTCGTTTTAATCTGAAGCACTTGTCGTATTCCCCTTTTTGTCGTTTTAATCTGAAGCACTTGTCGTATTCGCCTTTTGTCGTTTTAACCTGAAGCACTTGTCGTATTCCCCTTTTGTCGTTTTAATCTGAAGCACTTTATTCCCCAGCACTTTGCAGGTGTAAGAACGGCTTTGATGGTGTTACCTGCCAGGTGTCACCTGACAGTACACCAGTGGTGACACCTGGTGTGCAGCTGTGTGACCTCATGACCTCTTCGTGTGGGAGTTTTGTGGTGGACGGCTTCAACTTCACCAGTAGCAAAAAGTTAACCTGTGTCTACACCTACGTCACGGTGAGCTGGCTTGTTGTTTTAACATCTTTGTTGAGAGTTTGGGATTAAGGAATGTTATAATGATAATCTCATTGGACTTTTTGATAGAACACTCAACGATGTGATTTTATGGTCGTTGTTTTAAGGCAATCTTTAAACAATGTCGTGATTTTTAAAAACTGTTTAATTAGAATACCAACTGTTGTGATTTTTTATATATTAGAGTCATAATATCAGATACAATTGTTTAATTAGAAAACTCAATTTTGTAATTTAGGGATTAAAGAACAGCTTTTAGTGATGTAACCAGATATAATTGTTACGTAAGAGCACTCAAACAAATGCACGCAGCATTAGCGAGATCTAAATGTTAAATGGGAGCATATATTAATTTGTAATCTTTGATAAATAAAATTTTATTGTCTAATAGTTATTTAAGAAATATCTGAATCATATACTTCAAATATGAAAGTAATAAAAGACAGTCTAATAAGTATATATATATATATATATATATATATATATATATATATATATATATATATATATATATATATATATATAAATAAATAAATAAATAAATAAATAAATAAATAAATAAATAAATAAATAAATATATATATATATATATATATATATATAAATAAATAAATAAATAAATAAATAAATAAATAAATAAATAAATAAATAAATAAATAAATAACTAAATAAATAAATAAATAAATAAATAAATAAATAAATAAATAAATAAATAAATAAATAAATATATATATATATATATATATATATATATATATATATATATATATATATATATATATATATATATATATATATATATATATATATATATATATATATATATATAACACTTTTGATAACTTAGAAAAATATCAAATTTATAATATATCAAAATCACTTTATTTAACAATTCTCAATACCACTCCTGTATCATATTTAATGAAACTAAAACGCTAAAATTAGTTTAAAAATATATTCACAATTTATAAGAAATAATGCATAAACATAAATTATAACCAAAATCTTATATTTTTTGACATCATAGCCTGACCTGACGCCAGTGCCAGGTGTGTCACGTGGTACAGCGACAGCCGAACGCATCAACCTGCAGCAGGTGGGCTGCACCATGGCCCCGGATCAAACCCGCACGGCTCTGGTGTCTGTGAGAGCGGGGGACGTGACGAGCGAGCAGAGCATGTTGTACGTGGTCTACAACTCCAGCTGTCAGGAGTGTCAGGTGGCGGAGAACAATGTCACGTGTCAGTGGAAGGTGGGTCAGGGGGGGGTTTACATTATTTATTTGTTTCATTGAAGGTGGGTCAGGGGGGGTCTACATTATTGACTTGGTTCATTGAAGGTGGGTCAAGGGGGGGGGTCTACATTATTGACTTGGTTCATTGAAGGTGGGTTGGGGGGGGGTCTACATTATTGACTCTGTTCATTGAAGGTGGGTCAGGGGGGGGGGTCTACATTATGGGTATTAATGAAAGGTTATTCAGAGGGGTCTTAATTATTGACTTGTTTTAATGAAGGTGGGTCAGTGTGGGGAGGGGGGGGGGTCTACATTATTGATATTAATGGAAGGTTAGTCAGAGGGGTCTTAATTACTGACATTAATGGAAGGTTGGTCAGAGTGGTTTACACTATTGACTTATTTAATGAGGTGGGTTATATTATTAAATTTCAGATCTAAACTTTATTTATTTTGATGGTTGAATTTTAATATATATGTGTAAGCAGTTGCGTCGCTAGGTCGGGTGTCACATGGTGCGGCCGCATCTTCTCCCCGGCCTCGCTGCTCATCTGTTTCTAAGCACATGACGTGTTTTTTTTCCAAAGCCTAACCACTGTGTGATCAATGATAAATGTTATTCCAACCTTCAAGTCGATCCAGCCAATTCATGTCAAGTCTGTGATCTGGCAGCAAGCACATCCAAATGGACAAAATTGAATGGTAACACTAAAACTATAATTTAACACTTTGTATGCAGATTGCAGGGCATAGTGTTTTCATTGTCATCTCTTTAATTTCTTCGTTTATGTGTTAAATTTTTAAGTACTTTCACAGAACTGAAGGTCGCTGCTTAGAAATAAAACGTAAAGGCTGCATAGCGATTCGCATATTAAATAGTCACACACATACACATACACATATATACAAACATAGTAACAAACAAGCACATATGTAGATACAAACATTAACAAAACAGATGAAACACTACTGTATTCGACACCATGTGGAATATATATCTCTCTATATAAAAAGCAATGTATGTGTGTGTGTGTGTGTGTGTGTGTGTCTGTCTCTCTTTTATGCATTACTACATCTCTCATCACATCGCCGTGAAACTTTGGGAAGTTGTTGAGAATATTCCTGTGGAGGTTTCTGTGAGAAAAAAAAATCAAATTCGCAGAGGTGGCGCCCCAAAAAAACATGGGTTCGCCATAGAAAGGTCTTTCCATTTCTGCCAGTCTCAGGTAATTATTTGGCAGCCCCACAAGACAGTCCTGCCTTTGTCAGTTGCTATTCTGCTATACACCTCTACTTCTCTTTTAGCCTTTCCCGTTTTCTTTCTCTATAAGGAACCCAGATTTGAACTCATCATTAAAACATGACCCATCCAACGTATTTTCGATTACCTCTGAACGACTTCCGTTTCCCTTTCTCTTAGTAATCTATCATGGGAAGATATTGTTCGGTCAGTGGATATCCTAGTTTAGTAAGATCATCATCGTCGTTACTTAACCCTAATTGGGGTTGTTGGGGCACCAAATTAACCTTATAATTCTCCGTCATTCATTTCGGTCCTCTGCTGGTCTGAAAAGTTTAGAAATGTAATGCCAATTATTCTACTATTGTATGTTGCAGTTCCACAATGTACAGCACCGAAAGTGCAGCAAATGCCAGCTTGGTGCCAATGGTACTGGTGGTGTTACATGTATCGATTTTAGCCTGACGCAGCGCATGCACGTGCAGATTGTGAGTATAATATAAAAAAATCAAATATAACTTTATTTAAAATTTTTATTCTACGTGCGAATTGTGAGTAAAATACTGACTCAAATATAAGCAAAAGTTTATTCTTATTCTACGTGCGGATTGTGAGTAAAATTTAAAAACTCAAATATAAACACAATTTTATTTTTATTTCACGCACGGATTGTGAGTGAAATTTTAACTCAGACACAAACAAAATTTTGTTCTTAAACACATTTTAATTCTTATGAAAACATGAAAGATATGAACCACACTTTTTCAGCTTTATATAGATCGTTAGGTTTTACTAACCATCGCATCAATGTATTAATACTTTTCAGATTTTAGTAAAATTTTGATTGAAATTTAACAACTCAGTAATAAAAAATTAAACCTGCATAAATGGGCCTATAAATTGATTTTTCTGTACATAAACACAGAATTTCTTAACTACAAAAAAAAAAAAAAAAAAAAAAAAAAACGTCAGTGTAGTAAATTTTTTTCTTTTCATCTAGGAAGACTGTCGACAGAGCTTCAAATATTCTTCTCCGTTTTTTTCCGATTGCATGAACATTAGTTTATATTTAATAATTCTTTATTTTGAAAATAAAATAGCCAGAACATTGATTTTGAAAATGTTTGATTTTAGTAATTATAAAATTTAAAATATATGAAAATATTTACTATTGTTTTGGTATACATATATTTTATGTTAAATGCAAAATATTTAAATATTTTCCACACTAAAGATTGGATCTTCTAAAATGCTTTCATTAATTTGATCTATTGTGTTTTGGAAAATAAAATGATTTTACAATTGTAATTTGTTTTACTCTTTTAACTCGACTTTGTAAGCAATGCTTTATGTTAATCGTCTTCTCTTAACTAACAATATTACAAGTTTACATTTTATGTAGCTACGTAGATCTATAGTACTTACGAGCCGATCCGCGGCATATCATACGCCGCTATTTAGTTGTTTTATTTTCTACTTTTCAGTAATTCATAATTTGTGAATTCGACAGTAATAATGCTGCCACTGAAAATATTTGCTTTAAAACACTATCAGTGGGTCGTTAAGGATGATACTACCCTCACCCTCCTTTCCCCCAACCCCTACCTTACACCCCTCCCCCTGTGAAAGCAGCCTCCTCTTAGTTACATTCCATAAGTATAAAATAGTTTTAAACTCAATTATCTGCCCCTAGTAGCCGTCAGTAAACCCGGCTCTACGATTGTAAACATTTAGCGTGAAACAAAGCTCACCAGACGATGTAGGGGTGGGGGTGGTAGGGAGCGCGCTTACAGCTTGTTTTCTAGCGTCTCCAAGAAGATAATTATATTTATAGATAGATGTGTATTCTCCGTGATTACGTTTTCGATATTTTTATTAAATCAGGGGAAGCAACTCATACTGCCTCAAATTATTGGGAGAAAAAACAAGTTGCGTCCCTTATAAAATTTGAAAGTTTTTTAAAATATGATCCTACAATTTTATGTCATTTACACAAAAAAAGGGTCAGAAATTAGAAGTAAGACTTTCTCGGGTGTATGAATTCTGTTTAATTTATCGCTCACTCATTGCTTTAGTCACACTTTTGGGAAGGGGGATTTAGAAAGCACAATGAAATACTTTTGAAATAATTATTATTATTTCGTGATGTTAGATTTACACATTTAAAAAATGCCATTACATTAATCAGAACAGAGGCGTAGCGAGGGGGGGGGGGGTCGGGGGGTGCGGACCGCACCGGGTGACACCATTTAGGGCGGTGACACCAAGGCAAAAAGTAGCAAAATAAATAGAGAAAAACTTGAGGGTGGGGAGTACAAATTTGTCCCCGGGAAGGGTAGCTACGCCTCTGGGGGGGGGGGGGGGTGACACCATTAAGTGCCGCACCGGGTGACACCCGACCTCGCTACGCCACTGAATCAGAATACTCAATGTTGACCGAGTTAGGAAATATTTTTTAGAAAGAAATCGTAAGTTGTTTAAAAGAAAACTATCTTAAGAGGGATGCGAGTTGCTGAGGTTTGATGCCATTTTTGGCTATGTAGGGCTTGTCTGGTTTTATGTGACGATCAGAGGCGTAGCGACCCCTCTCGGCGCCCGGGGACAAACTTTCAATTTGCCCCCCCCCCCCCACATATTTTTTTTTATATTTACAATTCAAAATAGCAGCTAACATGAGCTTATTTTGGCGCCACTAGGGTTGGCGCCCGGGGACATATTCACCCCATTGCCCCCCGTCGCTACGCCTCTGATGACGATGTGTGACGATAAGGAGGAAAATAATAAAAACGTAAAAAGTGTGACGTCGTGTTTGGACGGCCTCTTAGGGTTGTTGTGTGTTCATAATTGTAATATCAAAGTTGATTCCCTCTAACATTTTTCTCCTTGGGGGGGGGGGGGGGGGAGGGGGCACTTGATATTTTCGGGAAGGGGGGGGGGGGGGAGCGGACACTGGTAAAAGTATAAGTTTTCTATATAAACTCCATTTAGTTCGCCCCCCCCCCCCCCACCCGAAGAGATGCCTTGTATAAACTCTGATAAATTAGTATTACGTGTTAGCATGTTATACGGCCATACAGCCCGTGAACTCCGACTTCTGCCTACATTTTTGATCTGGCTAAGCTTCTATAGCCTTTGTCCAGCCAAAAACATCAGCAAAGCAGTTTTTATTTAATTTTTTTGGTTTTTTTTTTTCCTAGACGGGTTGCTCTCCCTTGCATAAAAGCCTCATTGTTATGGGGATCTGAACTCGAGACTTGAGAAGTTGAGCTTATACGCTCGACCACGCCGTCCCCTGTTGTGTATTAAGACATCAGGTATGGAGGGAATGAGTCCATCAGCACTATTTCAGCCGCATATTTAGGGTTAGGGCTATCGAGCCTCATTTGCCGAGGGGTTCGAACTCAAGACCAGGGGCGTAGCGAGGGGGGGGGGGCGGGGGTGCGGATCGCACCGGGTGACACCATTTAGGGGGGTGACACCAAGGCAAAAAATAGCAAAATATATAGAGAAAAACTTGAGGGGGGTACAAATCGAAAGTTTGAGGGGGGGGGGGTACAAATCGAAAACTAAGGGGAAGGGGGTGCAAATCGAAAGTTTGAGAGGGGGGGGGGGGTGCAAATCGAAAACTTGAAAGTTTGTCCCCGGGAAGGGTCGCTACGCCTCTGGGGGGTGACTCCATTAAGTGCCGCACCGGGTGACACCGGACCTCGCTAAGCCACTGCTCAAGACCTCTCGGTTTTACCGACTCGACCATGCTACATTTGATTGTTTTTGTAAATCAATAGAACAGAAAGTCTATTGTAAAAATCAATAGCTCGTATGAAACAGGTTTATGAAAGTGAAAGTTCTCCAGGTGAATTCCTGGAAATAACGATCGCGGTGACGTGTTCATATCCGGACCAGCAGCCATCAACCAGACGAGGGTTAACCCGGCAGACGTTGTTTACAGTGTAACGAATTAGGTCAAGGTCAAGTATTCCTGGTGACACGTGGTGTCGGCCCTGCTGTTGACGGGTTAACCCGTGGCTAGCGAGCGTGTGTGTGTATATGTCTTTGTGTGTGTGTGCTTTCGCTAAAGTGTGTGTTTGTGTGTGTGTATAAGGTTTTTAGGACTTGCGAACAGGCTGGCGTGGCGATCCATTTCTGCGCCCTATGCGAACTATCAACTTTGAACCCACCCCCCTCCACCAATTTTTATATAGTAAGGATCTTGTCTAGAAAAGCCCCACCACTTATGACCTATTTCTGATGTTTGGACATTTGAATATCTAAACTCACGCCGTAACTAAAATTAGCAAGTTGACTTTATTATATGTAGTAAAAGAAGGATAATCAATACATGTGATTATTTATGACCTTTGAGATCTAAACACAATGTTTTCTTTTCCTAAAGTGACCGAATTGCTAAAGAGGGTGTCTGATGCATGCACAGATTTTCCCTTCACTTACCCATAGCTACAAATTTAAAAAAAAAAAGAAAAAAGTGATTATTTAATTATTTTTTTTCGTTTTATGATGCTACCTTAAAATGTTGAATAAGATATCAAATACTAAATTAGTTTATTTTTTTTTTTACAAATATCTCAACATGGATTGAATTATATATAACAATCCATTAGTAAACTAATTTTATTTAATTAAAAAAATCATCAGGTTAAATTTGGCAACAGGGTTATCATGGCGTCTGTGCACTGTTCGTTACTGGCATTGTCTGCTTCATCATATCATATCGACTATTGCAATCATGAAGCCAGAAAAAAGTCAAAAGGGCTAGCTCACGAATTAAATACCGCTTTATTATATTCACAATGCCGGACAAGCATTCACAACCTAACAGTACATGCAAAAATATAAAAAAAAGGATAGTAGTTCATAGATAAACTGTCGTGGAATATTGTGTTTAAAGTGTTTTTAACTTTCGTTTACAAAATAAAACTAGAAAAAAAAAAACAACAACGCCCAAACAAAACTGTTTTGAAATACCAGCACTATGAAGTACTAATTAACAAAGTTGTTTGCAACAAAGAAACATGTTATTTCATGCTCCAAACGACTAAATATTAAACCACCTTTAATTGTGTACGTCTGTTCAACCAACCGAATCTGATGTAGGCTGTGAGTTTTTAACTGCTGGCGTGTCTATTTTCGGAGACTTGTGTGGACTGACATTGCTGGAATTTCTACTTGATAATGAGCTTCGTCTTTTATGAGTCCTGCACTTTACAGTATTGTATGACGTCTCTAATACATCACTGTCTGATAACACTAATACAGTATTGTATGACGTCTGTAATACATCACTGTCGGATGCCACTAGTACAGTACTGTATGACGTCCCTAGCTGACCCAGCTTTGAGAATGTTCTGCCGTTTACAGCACTGTTTGACGTCAATAATACATCACTGCCAGACGTCTCTAAAACACCACTGTTTGACGTCCCAAGCTGATTCAGTTTTGAGAACGTCCTGCCGTTTACAGCAATATTTGATGTCTCCAATACATCACTGCCAGACGTCTCTAATACACCACTGTCTGACTTCTTAAATACAGCACTGTTTGACGTCACTAATACATCACTGCCAGACGTCTCCGAAACATCACTGTCGGACGTCCCAAGCTGATTCAGCTTTGAGAAAGCTCTGCCGTTTGCAGCAATGTTTGACGTCTTCAATACATCCCTGCCAGGCGTCTCCAATACACCACTGTCTGACGTCTTGAATACAGCACTCTCTGACGTCTCTAAAACACCACTGTCTGACGTCCCAATCTGATCCAGCTTTAAGAACGTCCTGCTGTTTACACCGCTGTCTGACGTCTCCAATACACCACTGTCTGACGTCTTTAATACACCACTGTTAGACGTCCCAATCTGATCCAGCTTTAAGAACGTCCTGCTGTTTACACCACTGTCTGACGTCTCCAATACACCACTGTCTGACGTCTTTAATAAACCACTGTTAGACGCCCCAAGCTGATCCAGCTGTGTGAACGTCCTGCTGTTTACACCACTGTCTGACGTCTTGAATACACCACAGTCTGACGTCCCAATCTGATCCAGCTTTGAGAACGTCGCAGCCAGACAATTTTTGATGCTACCAACCAGAGTCAGGTCTGGGAAAATTCTCGAACCTTTCCTGGCACACAGCTGGGTCACGGCGTTGTGAAGGTCAATCGTTTTCTCCAGCACGCCCAGAACTGACGTCATGAAAAACAAATCTGAAAACTTCCCAGCGTTCCATAGTCTCGCCTCCCCTTCCAACACTTCCGGAAATTTCCCTTCATTTTTAAGATGTCTCTGTAGCGCTTCAAACTTCTTCACCAAAACCTGCTTCGTGTCCTTAGGGTTGGTGGTTGGATTTTTCCAGGCCAGCCCCACCTCTTGGTCCCACCAGCTTGGCTTAAACCTCTGGCTCCACACCGTCTCCTGACCGTTGACCTTCCCAACGACAGTTCTAGACAGCAGACGCACAGCGAATATAAGCCAGGCCTTCTCGTTGTTGACAGGCTCCCGTCTGGCACCATGAATGTCAGTTGACCAGTCCAAGTGGCACGGACAAGTGCCAGCACTGCTCATCTTAGTGTTCTATAAATAAACCTTCAGCACAGAATCATTTCTATAAATAAACCTTCATCACAGAATCGCAGCTATAAATAAACCTTTATTACAGAATCATGTCTACTTTTGTCAAATTGTCTATAAGTAACAATAAAATAAAAGTAAATTTTAAATGTTTTGTGGATCTATAGATATTTTACGATTTCGCCTTTTGAATTTCACTCCCCTATAGAATAGGAATCCAAATAAATGCTTATTGAAGCTTATTAAAAACTGCATTTTGATGACTGGCGTAATTTTCAACAGTTTGTGGTCTAACTGACGCTGACTGTCTTGACAACTTTGTTGTTGGTGTATCACCATGTCCGTCATGTGGAGCGTAGCTCTCATCTTGGGATAGGAATGAGAAATCTGTCACTCTGGCAGGATAATGGAGAAAAAAATTATCTTGTTATAGTTATAGCTTAAGTGAAACGTTAATCATGCTTCATTTTTTTTTACTGTTTTCTATCTACTACTAAAACTCAAGTTTGTTTACAAGTTTGTTTAATTTTTGTTTGTCTGTTTGGTTACATGTGAGAATCTGCACTATGTGTAGAGCTGTAAAATACGTATTCATGTAGAGAATAATGTTCTTTTTTTTACCAAACTGTTAATCACAAATTCGATTTAAGACGTTAATTAATTTATTGATATATTGATTGGTGGAAATACCACTTTAATTATAAAAGTTCAGGACAATTACTTTATAGTCACTTCACATGATTTTTTTTTTTCAACAAGCATGGCGGCTTCCATGGAAGACCATGCTGCCCATTCAAAAGTTTAACGCATTATAAAGCAACATTTTCTGTCGGCTATAGCTTTAACGATACGCCTGTTTGCTATTTTTATTAGGTTACAACACTATTTTCAATTTTCATTAGGATACGCTGAGCAGTTCTTCTATTTTGACAATAAAATAAATTTATCTAGCCTAGATCTCTAGAGATTCTAAATCTACCGATAGGCCAAATCTAATATATAGATCTAACTATCTATGTTTAACTGACTTCAGTTTTCGAAATGAAATGCGGCTAGTCATAGAGCTGGCCATACAATACCTTTTTATGTTTATGTCTTTGAGAGGGATGAAATAATTTTCAAATGCACCGCAAACCTTTGTTATGAAAATTTACTTGAATTTTTTTGTCAGTTAATTGATAAATATTTATGTTTGGCATACAAACACTATACAAATATTTTTCTTTTTAGTATGTGAAAGAAAATGCAACGCAACAAATAGATAGGATGGACACATTAAAATTACCTGTTGATCAACAAGGTGCTTCGTCCAATAGACAGTCGCAGATGACGATATGATCACTTGGTACATATCTGTTTATCCAATACCATCTTTGTAACGGAGAGTATGCGAATCACTGGTAACATAGATCATTATGTTCGGTAACTATGGGGACTGAATAATACAGTTTCACTTGATCGATCGACCTAAGATCTAAAAAAAACAAACAAAAAAAAACTACATTTTCTTATCTTGACAATAATTAAACATAGTTTTCATTATTTTTTTTTACAAAAATCTTACGTGAAATTAACAACATATCATACTATTATTTTAAAGACAAGTAGACTACTTTTCATATCTTGAAAGTAACTGATTAAAGATTTTATTATTATTGTTAAAAAATCTTACATAATCTTACATAAAATTAACAGCAGATGTTAAGATTATTTTAAAGACAAGTAGACAAGTACTTTTTGATATCTTGACACTAACTAATAAAAGATTTTATTATTATTGTTCAAAAATCTTACATAATCTTACATAAAATTAACAGCAGATCATACTATTATTTTAAAGATAAGTAGACTACGTTTGATATCTTGACAATAACTTATTAAAGAATTTATTATTATTTTACGAAATTCGTATGTAAAATAATTAACTACAAATAAAATATTATTTTAAAGAACATTAGCTCATTTAACTTGTGTATTACTGACATTGAACCGACGGACCTTAGCTGATTACCAGGAAACATTTTACCAGACGTTTTTCTAGGTAATGCCCCGTCTCTGAGAATTACGTGTTTATATCCGGACCAGCAGCCAGTCACGAGGGAAGGGTTAACCATGCAGACTATGATGCAGCCGTCGGCAATCAGCCCACCTCTCCCTGGCAAACAACCAACGATGACGTCATTTAAATCGGTCAATAACGGCTTAACCCTCGTCCAGGAGATGATTTAAAAAAAATGTTTTTTACTGAAAGTGAATAGGAAACTTATCTTGCAACGAGTATTTTAATCATTTGCATATAGACTTATCTTATTCCTTTGCAGCTACAGTTTTTTAAAGGTTCGTGGACTTACGCAGCATGGTCAAATATTTACTGTGTGGGAGTATTCAGAGCAGTTTTTTTTCTGCCTTTTTTTTTCTCCGGGGGATACTTGACACTTTTTTAGGGAGGGGGGGGGGGGGGGGGGGAATACGTTTTTCGGAAAGGGGTGGAGGTACGGACACTGCTAAAAAATATATATAATTTTTAATATATATATATATATATATATATATTTTAATATTTAATATTTAATATATAATATATAATTTTTAATATATATAATTTATATATATATATATATATATATATATATATATATATATATATATATATATATTTATAAAAATTATATTTTGTTCCAAGAGTGTGTGTGTGTGTGTGAGTTTGTGTGTGTGTATATGTGTGTATGTTGGGGGGGGGGGGGGGTGCGGTAAACGTGCTTTGTTGTGGTGGGGGAGTGCAATATTTTCTGTAATATTTTCTCTGGATTAGGCATGCCAAGAAACCATTAATAAAATAACAAACACTAAGTAATATCTAATGGGAACAGTATGGCAAGGCTATACTCAATGTTGACAGTAAGCCTAGGCATTACTTCATGTTACCAGAAAGACTAGGTAATATTTCACGTTAAAGTAATACTAGGCATCTGCAAAGAAAGGTGATACGATAATAATATCTGCAACCAAATCTAGCGAAGTCAGAAATAAAAAAATAAATATATTATTCAGCTTTAAAACATATACATTAAGTTGAACTTTGAACTTTGAGCTTGTGACCCCGTCCACGAAGTCACGATCTTCTAAGCGGCATCCTACACGTTGCTTCATTATAATTGCAAATGAGGCTATGTTTACACACAATTAACAGGTCAGGTCATGATGACACTTGACGGGATGTGTGTGTTGTTTAAACTCATCTCTGGTTTCCCAGTTGAGTGTTGATAAAACATGCAGAAGTAGACCAAAGAACCGGGTTGTGGAGGTGGAGGGTGGGGGGGGGGGGGGAGAAGGGGGGTATATTTTGTTATATTCAGTTTATAAGCATGGGTGTATTCATCACTCACCCAGAAATAGAAAGTCATGCTTGAATGCAGAGTTAAACTTAAGTTGAAATTTATTACATAATGGTGCACCAAAAAGGTAAAAAAAGTTTAATAAGTTAATTTTGAGCAGCAGTACTGAATTAGAGTTAAGAAAAAAAGACATGGATTAAAGACGGATTCATGGATTTGTTGAAAAGTCAATAAGCCCCCCCCCCACCCCCCTTTCGTGTGCTTGATCAATGTACACAGTCGATATTATCCATATACACAGTCAGTGTGTGCTCTAGTTTACACATCATCTCGCTGTGAACACAATTTATTAAGCTCAAATTAATTATAGTATACGACTGAAGCTGGGGCCCTGTTAAGGATACAGGGAGCATTTAAAAATGGGGATAGGGTCGAGGACAGGCTTCTATTCTAAAACGGCATTGACCTCATTACATTTCTAAAAACATCAAGCTTGAAAAATAAGGGCATAATGAAAAACAGTTTTTCTTTCTTTTTTAATGTTATTCAACATACAATTCGTTCGCCTCACGATGTCATTTTGAGAAAACCCGTTTCTATTTTTAAATCACACCGTCGTAGGTGGAGCCAATGTCATTTGTTTGATGGGGTTTACAAACCAACATTTGTATTAATCAGATTGAGAACTTTAGTAATATTTTTTATAACCACTGGAGGAACAATGTCTCGAATTCCATATGGAAAGCTTGGAAACACAACAGAGAGGAAAAATTTTGTGACTATAAATCTTGATCAAAATGTTCTTTCTCTGCAGTCTAGAATCCATAATGACGAGGATACCATTGAACATTTTGAAACTACTAATCTCGTTTACAACAAACACACTGTATTGAGCTATACCCACACCATATTGAGCTATCCCCACACCATATTGAGTGATCCCCACACCATATTGAGCTATACCCACACCATATTGAGCTATACCCACACCCTATTGAGCTATCCCCACACCCTATTTAACTGTCCTCACACCATATTGAGCTATCCCCACATCATTTTGAGCTATCCCCACACCATATTGAGCTATCCCCACAATATATTTAGCTATACCCACACCATATTGAGCTATACCCACACCCTATTGAGCTATCCCCACACCATATTGACGTATCCACACATCATATTGAGCTTTCCACACACCGTATCGAGCTATCCTCACACCATATTGAGCTTTCCCCACACCATATTGATCTATCCCCACACCATATTGAGCTATTCCCACACTATATTGAGCTAAACCTCACACCGTATTGACACATCCTGTTGTGCTGCTAGTCTAACGCGAGCATCCCCCCAGTCGATACGCCGCTGGTTTGCTCACGTGACCAGCCAGGCGAGAGGGTTAACCCTCCGGTGCTATAAATACCAGAGCAGGCAACTACGCTAGTACTTTCCCAATTTGCAGCTGGCCATAGCACCTCGTGTGCTGTCAACAATTCATTCCCTACTTCTTGCGACAGGGAATCCAGGTAAATTTTTAAAGACATAGTTTTTTAAAATTCGCAGGTTAAATAACATTTACTAAACGTTTATGTGTTTAGGTTCACAGATTTCAATCGCATTGCTACGCGTCTGTAGATCCCCATCCTTTTTTATACAGTTTGTTTTGAAATTAGAGAATCTGTTATGTTGTAACATGTTTGCCAGCTTTAGGGGTCATCCATTTATGACGTCCACCAATATGTGGAATTTTAGACCCCCCCCCTCTATCCGTGTACACGCGTCCACTTTCGACAAACATCCCCCCCCCCCCACATTGTGGACTTCCACAAAAATTAAGTAAACCTCCCCAAAACATGCTGCACAATTGCTAATTCATTTACTTGCAATGTGAATATTAAATGATAATGTAATATAGGGATTAGCTATTTTCGGTAATTATTATTACTAGGCCTAAATAAAAATTGGGAGTTAAGCTTTTCCAAGATGTCCTTAAGTCTACGGCGTGTAAACTTTCTGAGTGTGTTCTAAGACTATCTAAAATTGTTCTATATTGAAAGAGTGATTGCGCATGGACCTCTTGACTTTAAAGCTTTTTTTTTTACCCACTATTTTTCATAAAAAAGTCAGAGATTGCAGGCAGTCATAATTTTTTTTAAATTGAAGAAGCTGTAGATTGAACTTTATTGTCATTTGTGGGCGTCTAGCTATGCATTCTATATGAGTTCTGGTAAATTCGGCTAATCAACAAGACGTCATTACTCAACTTTACGCTGCATGTGTTTCCATAACAAACCGCCTCTCCCCCTTTTTGAGGTCACGCTGACCGTTAGCCCTACACACCTGACCAAGCGAGCACATTAGACACGCGCTGATATTTAAATATCTAATTGTACCGTGGTTGTTTTGAGTTTTTTACTTAAAAAAACTAGATTTACATCATCTTAGGCTTTGACACAAAATAATGATTTAGGCATACTATGATTTGTGTGTATATGTGGTTGTTGGTGAGGAGAAGGTTATGTGTGTGTGGGGGGGGGGGGGGGGGAGGGCCGGGAGGGGGGGTGATAATGTTTATTGACAAATATCTGCAATTTAGAAAAATATATATTTGTAAACACACGTTTTCAATTACACGTATTTGGCCATTTTTTATTTTGACTTCGTAAATATTATTTGACCAGCTTGCCGAATCCCGGCACCATTTGGCGTGTAATTGTTACGGGTTTAGGACACTAACCCCTGTTAATTTAATTAACATAATAGGCGTTCTAAAACATAATAGGCCCATATACACGGGTAAAAGTATATTTTTTTCTATATAAATTACATATACTTTGGTAAGCTGCTTGAAGTAAACACTGGTGTAATCGGTTGGGGAATGGTGTTCAGTACTCCAGAGCGTTATTGTTAAGGGGAAATAACCAGAAAATTGCGACTGAGGTAATAGATAGGATGGGTAGTCTCCCGTACTCAGCTGGGGTCACGGTAAAAATCAATTAGGTAGTTAACAAGAGTTTGTTATTTATTTGGTTATTTGCCTTCGTTCAAGGGAACTCAGAGGTAGAAATAAATTGCCCTCTGGTCAAAATCTAATGTGAAAAAAAGGGAGGGAATTAGGTTGATCTAAGTGCCCAATCATCTTAGAGAGAACATGATTTTTTGGGACGAGGGAGGTGGGGGGTAGTGCGATAGGACGGAGATAAAATATTGTTTAGAAGTGTCAATCCTACCCAGATATAAAACTACACACACCTACATCACGCTGTCATACGCACACATACGCACACACGCACACACACACACACAGCACACACACAGACACACACAGACACACGCACACACACGCACACACACATACACACACACATATATATATATATATATATATATGTATATATATTGCAAATGTATTTATTTTTCTGAACTCTGGTATTGCTATCCACAGAAAATGGCCTCAACAATTTCAATGATTGTGAGCGGAGACATCCAGGGCGGCTCCACGATGTCGTAGACGGCCACACTGCTTGACCCGGTGACACGCTGAGGGGCTGGTGAGGTCATGGCGGCTGCCAGGCCCACCAGTGTCCCAGCTGTCCCGGGGGTGAGCGAGAAAGTCGCCATGGTCCGACCATCACCTGGGATGGAGGTCGTGGTGATTTTCATCTTCTGGCCGCCCCCTGGGCGTAAGAGAAAGAGATTGCAAAAATTGTTCACGCACTAAAACACTTGATAAAACAATAAATTTTATTCTTTCATTTTTATAATCATCATCATTTGATTATAAAGCTTGTTACGGTCGTAACATAGCTGCCTTTAGCTGGGCATATCCAGCTTTCTGGATCATGGATCCGGAAGGATCATCCAGGGAACCAGCAAACAGCGAGAAGGAATGGCTGATCTCTGCTGTTCGGACGCTGTCCAGAATCGTGGCTGGGAAGGAGAAGGGTCAGGAAAAAATCTGGAACATTGAGTGTAAACCTGACTGGTGGGATGAAAAGACAGGGGGACTTCAATGGAGAAACCCAACAGGTAATAGAAAAGATTCGCTGCAAGTATTGCAAAAAAAGTACCGCGTTTTGGAGGAATATGTGAAAGCTGAAAAACGATTCCCAGAATCTCTTCAAAAGGAGGCAGAGCTTTGGAGCACTAATCAATTTGATAAGCTGTTCGCATTTACACATTTGATTTACTTTTATAATGAAGCTAAAAAATTAGCGACAGTTTGGGAGAAGTTTATCAAATTATACCCTGGCAAAGATGGGTCACTTGATGCAGAATTTTTCAATTATTTCAAGAATTGTAAAGCTAGTTTTAAAGAAATTCAACATAAAATGACTGAATATACAGAGCAGCTTTCCCATGTGCGTGTAAAACAAACGAGACCGAATGATTCTAGAGAGTCAACACCTCCAACTCCTGCAGTTGTCTCCTCTAAATCATCTTATAACCACCAGGCTTCAATGTCAGCACTGCCAAAACTTCAGAGAAAACGCCCGCTGGAAAATGTTCAAGTGAACTTCTCTGAAAAAAAACGGAAGACGCAATCTAAAACAAATGCTCCAACACAGTCGTCAAACTTTCAGATTTTACAGAATACACCATCTACATTAGAAAAGATAGATGGAGGTAATGAACCTGGCCGTGACAAAAGTGATTGCTCATCGTCTGATGAAGGCTTTTCGGACGGCTGCGATAATTTATCTGAACGCATCAATGCAGAAATGTCGCATAGATTTCATCTAGCCCCCAATGAATACCCTATGTACTTGCAAAGTGAAAAAAACAATAACATTAATTTGTTATATGATAAGCAATCAGAAGTATCCATTATACATAATGATCAGTCAGTCAATCAAAACATTATGAGCCCTACATCAGCAACTGAGCAATTACTCATTCACAGTCCTATAGAGCCCACATCAACGTATGAACAATTAATTACTCCTAGTTTCATACACAGTACATCAAGAACTATGGATGAGTTCTCCGGCAATAATGCTCTAAATACGACTATCAATGATTTTAGCAAAACGAGTACTGAAGAAAATCGCGCAGAAAGTAGCTCATTCGATAGTATACATTTCACCAAGAACAAAGATGAAGATTTTTTAGACATGTATTTAAAAAATTCCGAAAAAGGCCTACCCATACATCCGTCATTTTTGGATTTTTTTTTAGAAATTCCTTCAAATGAGAGCAACGTTTCAGACTATCATTTGGTCTGTCTCTCTAAGCTACTTGGACAAATCGAATCTGCTACCCCAACAGCCACATAGCTGTGTTCCATTTCAAATGCATTCGTTTACTCGCAGTTCTAGACACGTCTGCTATCCTCCTAGCCACTGAACAATGTTCCCGCCATTTATCATTCCTGATAGCCCAGCAGTAAAGTTGTTTTCACACATCAATCATTGTATCATATATAAATACACATTATATATTTTTTTTATTTGTAGCACTAGTGTTTTACTGATCTAATGTGAATAGTATTAACTGATACATTTGATCCATTCTTTGAAAAGGAAGTTAAAATTTTATTATAATTTAGGAAATGTTAAAAAGCGAAAAGGTATATGTACTTTACATTTTTTTAAACACAAAATTCGGTAACTGAGAAATTTCGCTGCATTAAAAATTGTTTAGGTGATACCTCAGTTACAAAAAAAAAACAAACACTAAAAGTAATATAATATATCAAATTGTGTTGTAATTACGTATTTTTTTTCAAAAATAAAAAAAATTACAAATATCTTGCGATTTTTATTTGGTTTATCTGCCTGACTGTAATTGTTGAATTCTCAGAAACATGTAACAAAAAGTACACAATATATCGCAAACTTGTGCAATGTAAATACCTGAGTTTACCATTAAGTCCACTTCATCTTGTAGCATACACCGGACCCACATACACAAACACGTGACAAACACATACACACATCTGAACCAGTGTTTCTTCCAGACTTTTTTCTCCGGGGGGGGGGGGGGGGGGGGGGCGGTAGACTTTCTTGGGGGGGGGGGGGGGCGGACACTGTTAAAAGTATATATTTTCTATATAAATTAAAAAAAATTTCGGGCGGGGGGAAGAGATGCCTGGAAGAAACTCTGCGCATAAACATAGCAATGTATGCATACACACACACACAAAGAAATCCACACTCTGACTTACATACACACATACACACAAAGGAATGTTCACACACAAATGCTAAGAAGTGAATTACACACGTAGGCATATATACATAAACTCAAACGCATGCTAACACGTACACACACTCACCACAAAAACGCATACATACTTAAACATGTACACGCGGAAATACACACTCACAAAACACACTACCACATGAATAAAAAAAAACAAAAAAAAAAACACTTCTCAAGCAAACGCACACACACACACACACACATATACATGCACACACACACACACATGCACACACACACATGCACACATGCACGTGCAATGGACGACTTTTCGATCGATCAGACGCCAGGTATACCCAGCTAGATTTGACCTCTGACCTCTGACGTATTGAGCCACAATGCTGCCACGTCAGCTGGGTCTGGGTAACCTGACCTCGTTGTTGGCTGCTGCACCGGACTGAAAAAGGCAGGTGATGGCTGCTGGTCCGGATACCACACAAACCAAGGCATACTTGAACAAGTACACACGAAAATATACACAGTTAAAACACACTACCACAGGAATAAATACACACAAACATAAACAGGGCAATTTAAGGCTGCTGGTCCGGAAACCACACAAATCACGGCATACTTAAACAAGTACACACGAAAATATACACACTACCGTATAAATAAACACACTCAAACATAAACACGTCACTTTAAGGCTGCGGGTATTATTAAATAAAAATGCTGGCTGCTGGTCCGGATATAATAACGACATGTTGATTGCTACTGATCTGAATATTATTAGGTCACCAAGCTGGCTATTGGTCCGGATATAAATACATGCCGCATTGAGATCGATACTGGGTGGCGTCGTTAGGTCGGGTGTCACCAGGGGCAGCAAATGGGAGTGTCACCCCCCACCCCACTCCAACAATGTAGAAGTTTTTTGTTAATTGTTAATGGTCTATTGCTCCTTAAACTAGTTTGCATTCATTACACTTTGATTAATATTGCAAACAAGGTTGTACATCGGTTTGGAGATGTGAATTTTTTTTTATGTCGCGAGTCAACCGTTGGAGAAAGTATAGGCTGCTGACCCCCAGTGGCGGAACTAGAAAAAAAGCCCCCGCTGAATTTATTTTGGCCCCCCTACCCCCGAAAAAAAAAAATAAAAAAAAAAAAATAAATAAAATAAAATAAAATAAATAAATAAATAAATAAATAAATAAATAAATAAATAAATAAATAAATATATATATATATATATATATATATATATATATATATATATATATATATATATATATATATATATATATATATATATATATATATATATATGACTAAATCTAATCAAAGGTTGCACCCAACACCAGTGCAGTAATGTAGCGATAGCTCCCAAGAGCCCTCTGACTCTCCTGACACGTTGGTGTGTCTAGTTGGTAGTGTGGACAAAGCCGCGCCCCATCAACTGGATCCAAGAAATGAACTGTCGACATTAAACACATTTAATTAAACCTCTGGAAAACAGGACACACGTCTAAAATATACGATATGCATTTAAATCGTGCGGCGTCAATTCGGCCAATGACGAAACGGCCCCGTCAAAACGACCCCGACAAAACGACCCCGTCAAAACGACCCCGTCAAATCGGCCCCGTCAAAAGGGCCAGCGACATATGGACCCCGTCATATAGGCTCCCGACAAATGGGCTCCCGTCATTTAGGCTACCGACAAATAGGCTCCCGTTATATAGGCTCCCGACAAAAGGGCTCCAGTCAATAAGGCTCCTGACAAATAGGCTCCCGTCATTTTGGCTCCCGACATATAGTCTCCCGTCATTTAGTTTTTTCCACAAAACGGCCCCCGTCATTACGACTCCCGACAAATAGGCTCCCGCCATTTAGTTTCTCCACAAAACGGCCCCCGTCATTACGACTCCCGACAAATAGGCTAGCGTCATTTTGGCTCCCGACAAAAAGGCTCCTGTCAATTTGGCTCCAGACAAAAGGACCACTGACACAGTGGCGTAGCTACCGTAAAGCTAGCGTAAGCAAGGCATGGGGGCTCAAGGCACATAGGGGCCCTTTTCCCTCATAAAAAATTAAAACTTTTACAATGGAATTTTAATATTTGTTACATATAAATAATTTTAAAAAAGAAAAAGGTTAAAAGTTCCAAAAAGCCCCCCCCCCCCCCCCACCGTTTCGGCAGTGGGATTCAGTGTTTGTGGGTCAAACAGAGCCCGATCGTTATAATAACACTACAGGCTATATCACTTTGTCGTGCAAGACATTGAGAGAATCAGCCTATAAATAAACTTTTTAGCAGTAGTAGGCAAGCATAATAATATAGTATAAATACAAAATCAGGACATATGAAATACAAAATGTTGCCTTCAGAATATTTATATATTAAAAAATATCCATCGTAAGTAGAAGTTGATCTCTTCGTTTAACTCCTCTGTAGCCTAACGCAGAGGCGTAGCGAAGGCGAGGCGGGGGGTGCGGACCGCAACGGGTGACACCATTTAGGGGGGGGGGTGACACCAAAGGCAAAAAATTGTAAAATTTATAGAACGAAATGCCATTTTCCAGATCCATTAGTTAAAGTTAAATAGTCTTCTAAGTACAAATCAAAAATTATATCAAGAGGGGGGGGGGGGTGTGACACCACGACGTAAACGTAAACTATAAAGAAAACAATGCTACATCCAACTGTATTATAAACAGACTGTAGATAAACATCGTTACTATTAAGTCAGCAGTGATTAAAGCTTAAACACGTACGTGTACCAGTATGTGGCATATATATAAATTTTAGGCCTATGTAGGCCGACACACACACACACACACACATACATATATATATATATATATATATATATATATATATATATATATATATATATATATATGCTTTGTTTCCTGGGAGGGGGTGACAATACGAAGTGCCGCACCGGGTGAGACCCGACCTAGCGACGCCACTGGCCTAACGGCTGACGAAGGGGCCCACTGATAATTTTTGCATAGGGGCCCAAAAATCCTAGCTACGCCACTGCACTGACAATACCGCTTCTGTAGAGACTAAGTCTCCCGGCAAAGCGGTCTCATTGAATATGACATCTGCCAGTGGGACCCCTTCATCAATATTCTTTAGAGTTAGCTTATCCAACACTCTTATGTAATACAACGTATGCATCTCTTGTTCGGCAGGCCTTATTTTTATATTAGTTTATCTATTATAAAATATAGTTTTAATTTAAGGGTCATCTATCTATGACATCCATAATTGAGTCAGTTATAGGCTGTTCCAACTCATTGTGTGGGGAGAAGGGTCCACGCTGTACCTTCCTAACTGCAATATGCTTGTACAGGGGCGTAGCGAGGGGGGAGGGCGGGGGGTGCGGACCGCACCGGGTGACACCATTTAGGGGGGTGACAAAAAGGCAAAAAAATAGCAAAATATATAGAGAAAAAGTTGAGGGGGTGGGGGTGCAAATCGAAAGTTTGGGGGGGGGGGGGGGGGGGATGCAAATCGAAAACTTGAAAGTTTGTCGCAACGCCTCTGGGGGGGGGGGGGGTGACACCATTAAGTGCCGCACCGGGTGACACCCGACCTCGCTACGCCACTGTGCTTGTAGGTTATCAAAACAAAATGCTGTTATCATGTTAACATCATGTATATCATACATTTACACTTCTGTGCTCGCTTTTAATAAGCAACATATCTTTTATGTTGTAAATTAAACATTATCAAAACTTTAGAATTGGTGGAATTTAGCTGTTAAGGGCTCGATTTGTTTGTGAATTAATGTTGGTTCATGAAAAAATAATTTCATTCGGGCATTAAAAAGAGGTTATGGTGGTATTGGAGGTAGGACACAATGGTTACTTTTATGCCAATAGTGGTCATATTCATTTTTCTGGAGCCAATATGTCGGGAGTCATTTTGTCAAAAGCCAATATGTCGGGAGCCCAATTGCCGGGAGCCAATATGTCGGGAGCCCATTTGTCGGTAGCCAAAATGTCGTGAGCCCATTTGCCGGGAGCCCATTTGTCTTGAGCCCTTATGTCGGGAGCCAATATGTCGGGAGCCGCTTTGTCGGGAGCCAATATGTCCTGAGCCTATTTGTCAGGGGTTAATATGTCGGGAGTCCATTTGTCGGGAGCCTAAATATCGGGAGCCCATTTGTCGGGAGCCTATATGTCGCAAGTCAATATGACGGGAGCCCATTTGACGGGAGCCAATAAGTCGGGGCCCTTTTGACGGGGCTATTTTGACGGGGTCGGTTTGTCGGGGGTCGATTTGACGGGGTCGTATTAACGGGGCCGTTTTGACGGGGCCGATTTGTCCCGGGCCGTTTTGACAGGGCACCATTTAAATATATATATTTAAATATATATATATGTATATATATATATATATGTATATATATACACATATATATATATATATATATATATATATATATATATATATATATATATATATATATATATATATATATATATATTCCCGTTGCCGCGGGTATAGAAGAAAGTCCGACGAAATATATAAGAAGGGTTTCATCCATGCGTTACCAATCCTATATTCTTAGACTCGTGACCTTGTTTTCTAAAAGTGAGTTATTTAAATGTAAACAATGCCTGCGCTTGGATCATAAATATCGGGCACTGGTTTACCTACACTACCTCATGAAAACCTTGCGTGCACATTAATCACTCACCGAAATAATATGGTAGAACACACTTCGGTGACCGCGCATATGTCAGAGACGTAGAGGGGCGCTCTCAGGAGCCCCCCCCCCCGATTATACTACCGTATAGGCGCGGCGTACGACCTCTGGCTCCTTAAAACTAACAGGCGCCATCGTGCCAAATAGCATCATGTTAACAATGATGCATATTGCGTCATTCGCTAAAGTGACACAAATGAACAGGATTTGTTATTTAACACGTACACAAATTATTAGACGTGTTTTAAACATCCGTGTGACTGATGCAATATGTTAACGTTACTATTATTAAATGCTCGATCTCAATTTCTGATTGGATTTTCTGAAAATAGATGCTAATTGCATCACTCGCAAAGTGACGAAACTGTTTGGGTTTTTTTTTACGGACAAAAAAGAAACATCCCAGTTAATAATCTAACATTTGTTAATTTTTCTGATTATTAAAATAAAACGTATTACATGGCCCTCAGCGGCCCATGTGAGCCTTTGGGGGCCGAAACAGACATTTTTATTTACAGCCTAATCGCACCCTACCAGTGCGCCAGAGGACACGCCTGATTCAATTTAGTGAGCATTTGTAACGCCCCATCCTCTCCATTGTCTATCACACTGTTTAGACCGAACGTAGTCGCCATAGCGCTCACGGGAAAGACCAAGGCGCCAAATCGCATCCTGCCTGGGGTCTTCCATGCAAAATTAAACCCCCCTTCCCCACCACCCACCCATCGTTAATCCCCCCCCCCCCCTCACACCCCAGAAACCTCGGGAGTATTCATCAACCCCTAAAGTTTTATGGCACCTGGATAAACTGTGTCGAACCGCAATTTGTCTTTTACTTTTATATACCGTATATAGAGAAAAATCCCACTATCGCCGCCCTTGCGAAATTACATTTTTTTTTTTTACAGAAACCTTCCCTGGAGCGTTCTAATAAACTCCCCAAAGTTTGATGGTGATCGAATGAACGCCGTGAAACCGCAATCGACGTTTATTTTTAAATATCGTACATAGAGAAAAAAAATTGCGCCCTGCCGGGGCGCCACCCCTGTGAATTTGAAATTTTTTCCCCCGCAGAAACCTCCCCAGGATTATTCGCAACAACTTCGCAAAGTTTCACGGCGATGTGATGAGAGGTGTAGTAATGCATACAAGACAGACAGACAAAAATACATTTCTTTATATATATATATATATATATATATATATATATATATATATATATATATATATATATATATATATATATATATATATATATATATATATATATATATATGCTAGTACTGAATGTCGCGGATAAAGAAGATAGCACACTATAGACCCCCCCCCTCCAGCCACCATATTTTAAGCCACATACTAATCAATATCAGTTTTTCAATTAACTTTTTAGTGTTTAAGGTAAGATCAATAGATATAAATAATGTGTTTAGGTTAAAATATTAAGTTCCGGACAGGTGAAAATAATGAAGTAGGTGTAGGGACAGGTGTATGTGTAAGTATGAGTGTTGGTGTGATTATGTGAGTAAAGGTTGATGTTATGTAATTTTAGATGTGGATGCGAATTCGGATGTGTCTGTAGATAAAGGTGTCTATGTGGGTATGGGGGTTTCAGGAAAGAAGCGCAAAGGAAAAATGAGCAAACAGAAAAATGCACAGACAGAAAATTGAGCACTCAAAAATGTGTGAATTTCTGTTGGCGCATTTTTCCGTCGCCCATCTTGTGCTAACAGGTGTTTCTGTAGGTGTAGATGTAGGTGTAGGTGAAGTTGTAGGTGTAGGTGTAGGTGTAGGTGTAGGTGTAGGTGTAGGTGTAGGTGTAGGTGTAGGTGTAGGTGTAGGTGTAGGTGTAGGTGTAGGTGTAGGTGTAGGTGTAGGTGTAGGTGTAGGTGTAGGTGTAGGTGTAGGTGTAGGTGTAGGTGTAAGTGTAGGTGTAGGTGTAGGTGTAGGTGTAGGTGTAGGTGTAGGTGTAGGTGTAGGTGTAGGTGTAAGTGTAGGTGTAGGTGTAGGTGTAGGTGTGGTGTAGGTGTAGGTGTAGGTGTAGGTGTGGTGTAGGTGTAGGTGTAGGTGTAGGTGTAGGTGTAGGTGTAGGTGTAGGTGTAGGTGTGGTGTAGGTGTAGGTGTAGGTGTAGGTGTAGGTGTGGGTGTAGGTGTAGGTGTAGGTGTTTTGTGTGGGTGTAGGTGTGGTGTAAGTGTAGGTGTAGGTGTAGGTGTAGGTGTAGGTGTGGGTGTAGGTGTAGGTGTAGGTGTAGGTGTGGGTGTAGGTGTAGGTGTAGGTGTAGGTGTTTTGTGTGGGTGTAGGTGTCGTGTAGGTGTGGTGTAGGTGTAGGTTTTGGTATTGGTGCACGTTCAGATGTGTTGTTGGTGTATTAGTTTTGGAATTGTGTGTGAGACAGTGAGTGGGGGTGGAGTTATTCGTTGTTTTAGTTCTGTCCCCTGATCAGCCATTGGCTATCTCCGTTTGTAGACTGATGACGTGTGAACTGTAACCACATGTTGGTATACAAATTACCAGTTTGTCATCGAGCACAGGCAGGTGTGTTCTACAAAGGTGATGCGTTATACATTGTACTATTTATGAATATTTGATAAATATTTAAATTTGATAAGATTAGTTGCTACTTAATCCTACCAAATTTTGTTTTTTAAGTTTAGAATAGGTCACCACTTTTAATTTTTTACAAACTTGTGGATCAAAAGTAAGCCATATTTTATACATACTTGTTTTTTTTTGGTACTAAATGTATTACTTATTAGCATTCATTCGGACAATACGGCAAAGACCGAGAGAGGCAAAATGGAGCCTTATATGTGAAGTAAATTTCCCACGACGGTCCATGGAGCAAATGAAGTAGAGCTGACCTCGGCACAAGAATGGTGAGGTTAACACAATGTCCAGCCGCCTATATTTTCCCTAACGTGAGTTTGGTACCCATCAGCGATGGGTGGACTTAGTGACGTTTAACAAACTTGAACCCGGATTTTCCCCCGCTCAACAAAGGTAGAGGACTTTGATTTTGCTGATTATCTGATGTTGTTAGCTAGCAGACCCTCTGGCATTCTACAGAAGGCAAATATCTTACTAAATTATACAGCATACAAAAGTCTTAAATGAAAAAATGTCTTGAAAATAAAAACCAGTCAAAGAACAACTCAGCTTAAAAGACAAATTTACAATTAAATCTTCATTCGATGACTTGCATTTCGCTGATGATCTGATCTTGGTAGCAAGCAGTAAAAATTCCAATAGCAGACAAACTATGCTGCTAAGTAATGCCAAAGTCAAGGAATAATTTAGCTTTAAAAAATACAGCAAAATCTATATAGCAGGAAACGTATGCTGACAAAAATACTAAAGTCTAAGAACACTTTAGCTTTTAAAACTACAGCAAACTCTAAAGAGCAGGCAATGTATGCTAGCAAATAACACATTCTAGAAACCATTAGCTTGGTAGGCAAACAAAAAGAGGAAGCAGGGTAATTCGTATCTTAGGAAGTGGAGTCACAAGTAATAAAATTTACTTCAAAGAAGGTGAAAACTAGCATAGGGAAAGTTAGCCATCGCTTTCGTATGCTTAGAAAAATCAGAGAAGAAGAATAGTGTCCTCAGGCAGTGGCGTAGCGAGGTCGGGTGTCACCCGGTGCGGCACTTAATGGTGTCACCCCCCAGAGGCGTAGCGACCCTTCCCGGGGATAAACTTTCAAGTTTTCGATTTGCACCCCCCTTAAACTTTCGATTTGCACCCCCTCAAGTTTTTCTTATATATTTTGCTATTTTTTGCCTTGGTGTCACCCCCTAAATGGTGTCATCCGGTGCGGTCCGCACCCCGCCCCCCCCCCTCTCTACGCCCCTGTCCTCAGGTATGGTTTTCGAATGTTGGAAAACCACAAATGCGATGGAGATTATGCTAAAAGCTTTTCACCAAAAGAGGTTACGAGAAAATATAATCTCAAACGGGATGTTGCCCATGTATACGATTCCCCTCAACACACAAGGGACAGGCGTAGCCAGTACAACTTGGCATCAGCAGTGCCATTATGAAACCAATGGTGGTGAGCCTCTCCCCCAAGGCGATCCGCTCCTGTTTTGTTGTCGGAGTTTCTTTCTTAGATGGCTTGCTGCCACAGCTAACGACCTTCACCTTCCCGTATGTTCAGAATTTTTGGGTTCCTGATGTTCGAACTCAGGACGTTTCGTGTCAGCAACCTCGTAATTTACCCCGCTCGACAACTGACTTCTGTTTCTTTAGTAAGCCAAAGCTTAGGTAGAGCAAATAGTTTACATCGCTCGACCACTTGCCATCTGCACGGATGAGAATTGCCAAGTAATTTTCCTTTTAACAAGCCAAATGATAAGATGAGCATCGATCTCAGTACCACCAGAAAATAATCCGAAACGTCAAAGGAACTGAGAGGAGGGTAGATAATTTGAAGTAGCAATTAAATAAATCGGTAGTCCACTAGATTACCTTTAAGGCAATAACATTGGTAAGAGTAACGGCAGAGATTATGAAAATAATTGTTTTATTAAGTGCGTTAAATTTATTTTTTGCCAATCCTGGAAGTAAAAACTCTGCTTTTTGCAAATATATTAGCAACTTAGTAAGCCAATGTATTAATACTGAATTAAATGTACGCATACTCATTTTACTTGAGCCAAAAGCCTACTACTAATAAAAAAAATTGAGTTAGAACTTCAGTTCGGCTGATGGTGAGTTGGAATAAAACTAAACACATGTTACCAAAATCACATCAACCAGTGTCAGCATTTGTAAGTTATTTATAGACTATAATGCATTTAGCTGTAGATAATCCTTACGCCTATTATAGAACTTTGATAGAACTCGGCTATCAAAACAAAAGGAAATTGGATTTCAAATGTATTTGCAGATCAAGAGGTAAATTTTCTATAGCGCAATTCATACGAATGATCAACTGCTTGTCAACATAAAATATTGTACTGCGTTGAATCCTGTTTCGATCTATGTATTTTGAATGTGCCAGTGTTTGCATCCCCACTAACAACCGCACCTCAATTTTCAACTTCGTATAAATCGCCATCTCCATCTCCATCTCCATCTCCATCTCCATCTCCATCTCCATCTCCATCTCCATCTCCATCTCCATCTCCATCTCCATCTCCAACTCCATCTCCATCTCCACCTTAACTTCCATCTCCATCTCCATCTCCATCTCCATCTCCATCTCCATCTCCATCTCCATCTCCATCTCCATCTCCATCTCCATCTCCATCTCCATCTCCATCTCCACCTCAACATCCATCTCCATCTCCTCCATCTCCATCTCCATCTCCATCTCCATCTCCATCTCCATCTCCATCTCCACCTCAACTTCTATCTCCATCTCCTCCATCTCCATCTCCATCTCCATCTCCATCTCCTCAATCTCCATCTCCATCTCCATCTCCATCTCCATCTCCATCTCCATCTCCATCTCCATCTCCATCTCCATCTCCATCTCCATCTCCATCTCAACTTCCACCTCCATCTCCATCTCCATCTCCACCTCAACTTCTATCTCCATCTCCATCTCCAACTCCATCTCCATCTCCATCTCCATCTCCATCTCCATCTCCATCTCCATCTCCACCTCAACTTCCATCTCCATCTCCATGTTTATCTCCATCTCCATCTCCATCTCCATCTCCATCTCCAACTCAATCTCCATCTCCATCTCCATCTCCATCTCCATCTCCATCTCCATCTCAACTTCCACCTCCATCTCCATCTCCATCTCCATCTCCACCTCAACTTCTATCTCCATCTCCATCTCCAACTCCATCTCCATCTCCATCTCCATCTCCATCTCCATCTCCATCTCCACCTCAACTTCCATCTCCATCTCCATGTTTATCTCCATCTCCATCTCCATCTCCATCTCCAACTCAATCTCCATCTCCATCTCCATCTCCATCTCCATCTCCATCTCTATCTCCATCTCAACTTCCATCTCCATCTCCATCTCCATCTCCATCTCCACCTCAACTTCCATCTCCATCTCCACCTCCATCTCCATCTCCATCTCTATCTCCATCTCCACCTCAACGTCCATCTCCATCTCCACCTCCATCTCCATCTCCATCTCCATCTCCATCTCCATCTCCATCTCCATCTCCATCTCCATCTCCATCTCCATCTCCATCTCCATCTCCACCTCAACTTCCATCTCCATCTCCATCTCCATCTCCATCTCCATCTCCATCTCCATCTCCATCTCCATCTCCATCTCCATCTCCATCTCAACCTAAACTTCCATCTCCATCTCTATCTCCATCTCCATCTCCATCTCCATCTCCATCTCCATCTCCATCTCCATCTCCACCTAAACTTCCATCTCCATCTCCATGTTTATCTCCATCTCCAACTCCATCTCCATCTCCATCTCCATCTCCATCTCCATCTCCATCTCCACCTCCATCTCCATCTCCATCTCCATCTCCATCTCCATCTCCATCTCCATCTCCTCAATCTCCATCTCCATCTCCATCTCCATCTCCATCTCCATCTCCCCCATCTCCATCTCCTCCATCTCCATCTCCACCTCCATCTCCATCTCCATCTCCATCTCCATCTCCATCTCCATCTCCATCTCCATCTCCATCTCCTCCATCGCCATCTCCTCCATCTCCATCTCCATCTCCATCTCCATCTCCTCCATCTCCATCTCCATCGCCATCTCTCTCTCCATCTCCATCTCCATCTCCATCTCCATCTCCATCTCCATCTCCATCTCCATCTCCTCCATCTCCATCTCCTCCATCTCCATCTCCATCTCCATCTCCATCTCCACCTCAACTTCCATCTCCATCTCCATCTCCATCTCCATCTCCATCTCCATCTCCATCTCCACCTCGATCTCCATCTCCATCTCCATCTCCATCTCCATCTTCATCTCCATCTCCATTTCCAACTCCATCTCCACCTCTACCTCCATCTCCATCTCCATCTCCATCTCCACCTCGATCTCCATCTCCATCTCCATCTCCATCTCCATCTCCATCTCCATCTCCATCTCCATCTCCACCTCAACTTCCATCTCCATCTCCATCTCCATCTCCACCTCCATCTCCATCTCCATCTCCATCTCCTCCATCTCCATCTCCATCTCCATCTCCTCCATCTCCATCTCCATCTCCATCTCCATCTCCATCTCCATCTCCATCTCCATCTCCTCCATCTCCATCTCCATCTCCATCTCCATCTCCATCTCCATCTCCATCTCCATCTCCATCTCCATTTCCAACTCCATCTCCACCTCAACCTCCATCTCCATCTCCATCTCCATCTCCATCTCCACCTCAACCTACATCTCCATCTCCATCTCCATCTCCATCTCCACCTCCATCTCCATCTCCTCCATCTCCATCTCCATCTCCATCTCCATCTCCATCTCCTCCATCTCCATCTCCATCTCCATCTCCACCTCCATCTCCATCTCCATCTCCATCTCCTCCATCTCCATCTCCATCTCCATCTCCATCTCCTCCATCTCCATCTCCATCTCCATCTCCATCTCCATCTCCATCTCCAT